CAAAGTGCAGTGAAAAACTCTGTTGGGATTTTGACTGGAATTATATTCTTCAATACTTTTGATTAATGTGGGCGGAATTAGCAATCATTACCATAGTGGGGCTTCTAATTCATTAAGATAGTATGTTTCTCCATTTATTTAAGTCTTCTTTAATGCCTTTCAATAAAATTTTGTAATTTTTTATATCACAGTCTTACACATCCTGGCCCTGGCTGGATAGCTCAGTTGGTTAGAGCGTTGTCCCCATATATGAAGGTTGTGGGTTCGATCCCCAGTCAGGTCACATACAAGTGTTAACCAATTAATGCATAAATAAGTGGAGCAACACACTGATGTTTCTTTTCTCTCTCTCTCTCTCTCTCTCTCTCTCTCTCTCTCTCTCTCTCTTTCTTTCTTTCTCCCTCCCTCTTTCCCTTCCTTTTTGTCTCTAAAATCATACATAAAAAATAAATAAATAAAAGTCTTATACATTCTTTTTTAGATGTATCCCTAGGTAGCATATATATTTTTTTCCTTGCCATTATAGATGTATCTTTTTAAAATTTGCTTTTCTAAATGCTGCTGTTAGGATATAAGAATGTGGTTGACTTCTTATGTTTGGCAACCTTTCTAAGTTCTTGTAATTCTAATAATTCATCTGAAGGATCTTTTGAATTTTCTGTGTAAAAATACAAATGATCTGGGACTAATAACAGTTTTATTTCTTCTTTCTACTACTTATATTCTTAATGTCTTATTGGTCTTTTTTTTTATTGCTGGAACCTTATTACAGTGTTGAATAGAAGTAGTGATTCAGGCATGTTTTTCTTGTTCCTAATATTAATGGGTGCTTTTTAAAAAATATATATGTTTTTATTGATTTTTTAGAGACAGAGGAAGGGAGAAACAGAGAGAAACATTGATATGAGAGAGAAACATCAATTGGCTGCCTCCTGGACAAGCCTGCAACTCAGGTAGGTGCCCTGACTGGGAATCAAACTAGGACCTCTCAGTCCATGGGACAGTACTCAATCTACTGAGCCACACCGGCTGGGCTAATGTGTGCTTTTAATTCGTGATTGAATAAGTTTTTTCTTTCTAGCATTTAATCAACCTTGCATTCCTAGAATAATCCTATATGTACCTTAGTACCTGTTTTTGCTATCTGAAAGAAATAAAAGATTTTTGCTTTTATAAGAAAACCTATTTACTGTACTAATGTAGGTCTTTTGTAAAAGTAAAGTGTGGTAACACGAACTACGAACTTTTGGAAAGTGGGAGATACTCTTCACTTTACACCATTTCAGCTTAAGAAAGTTTTCATAGGAATGCTCTACTTTCAGATAGCAGGGGCAAACCAGTATTAACCTTTTTTTACGTATATTGCTAGATTTTAGCATCTGTGCTCTTAAATTGTCCCATAAGAAAGTCAACAGAACAAGATTACTTTTGGATTACTGTAGAAGAAAAGTATTGCTCTTACACGTTAGTAGAATATTTTTAGGTATCTTGTAGGTGGTGATCCTGTCAGAATTCTCAACTCTATTATGAAGAGTATAACATTTAGCATTCCCATGTGAAGAACTTCTGTATCATGGGAGGCTGGGAGAATTAATGAATACATCTAACATCTGTGATTCCACTAAGATTTTTTTCCTTCTATTAAATATATATAATACTTCTGGGGAGATTATAATTTGTTTTTAACATGCTTATTTTAGTTTGCTTCTTGTTTGTCTTGTTTATAGATTGTAATTAGGAAACACAAAAGTGGGAAGCTTAGTATTAGCTTATATTTCTTCTTTGGAAATGCATATATTGGATAGGGAAACTACTTATGTATATTGTAATTTAAGTTTCTCAAAAATGTACACCCCTTACATATTTACAGATACCCTTTACATAAGTGCTGCTTATGTAATTAGTTTTTATAGACCTAAATATATTGAATAAATATTGCTTGTTGCTTTTATTTATTTATTTTATTTTTGCTTGTTGCTTTTAAACAAGTTGTAGGGAGGAGACAAATTCTGATCTGTAGAGTATTGATTGTGGAGATTCATAGTTCCTCTATATTTGATCTAAAGTGTTACCAATGTTTTTAGAACAAATAACAACACTTGAACCAATTTTGATCTTTTTTTTTTTTTCAAAGTTCTATTGGCTATTTAGAAAGAGAATGTCACAGAAAATCTTTTTTTAGCGAAATGTTAATTATTGTTAAAGTATGTCTATTGGTTAGTTTCTCTCACCTTACATATTGCCGTTTGTAACGTTCCTTCTTATTCACCAGGAGCATATAAAAGGGGGATTTTATTCTGGAAAATTTAAACCAAATTTTCTTTTCTTAGAATGTTTAACATTTCAATGTAGAGGCAAGTAGTATGTATTGTTTTCAAAGAAATTACTTGTTTTTTTAAAATTCTGACATAATTTTGAATGATTCAGCAGTTGATGAAATGAATATTTAACTGGTGCTTAAGCACATTTTCCTGAGAATGAGACAAAATTGAAGCTTTGTAAAATACATTAGTGTGTTTACTTTATGTAATTCTGAATCTCGTGTAAATTAATTTGTAGAATTAATCAGAGTGGAAGGAATCCTTTTTGCCCTTCCCGAGTGAAGCTCCCATAGGTACAGTTGGGTTGTCCTTCTGGGTTGCTTTAAGGGCACTTCAGCAGTTTTAAAAACTTAAGTACTAATTTCATAGCCAGTGTCAGCTGAATTTATTGAAGTAGGTCAGACTCTGGATAGCAACTTGTTTCTCAACCCTAAAGAGAGTCATTATCCATTCTTCTATTTGTTAGAAAATGGTAATAAATTTTTCCACATTGACCACAGTCTAGAGCAATTTCAGAAAATCTAGAAAGCTGGATTTTTTCAGGTATAGGAAATTACTTAAGGTTCTCTCTGACTTTTATTATCCCAGTAGACCAAAAATAAACAAATAAAAACAAAACAAACAAAAAATAAAAATCAACTTTTTTCCTCTATAAACACTAGCAGTATTTCTAAAAACAGGAATACACACACACACACACACACACACACACACACCCCTATAAAATATACATGCAAAAAGGAACTAGTTCAGTGGGGAATTATTATTTTTAAACATTCTTATTGATTTCTAGAGAAAAGAGAAAGGGAGAAAGAAAAACATCAGTGTGAGAGCAGACCATTGAGGCTGTCTCCTGTACGCTCCCCACCAGAGATCAAGCCCACAGTCTGGGCATGTGCCTTGACTGGGAATTGATCCAGGAACCTTTTGGTGCATGGATGATATGCCCAGTCAACTGAGCTACACCAACCAGGGCTCAATGGGGAATTATTTTACTTTTATTCTTTTTAATTTTTATTCTTTTTAATTGTATTTTATTCTCCCCCTCCTGTTAAGTTGATTAAGGAAGTTTTCATTTTGTTTTGTCTTGTTTTTAATCCTTACCCGAGGACATTTTTTCTATTTTTTGCTCAGACAGAGTGGGAGGGGGAGAGAGAGAGAGAGAGAGAGAGAGAGAGAGAGAGAGAAAAACATCAACGTGAAAGGGGACACATCAAGTGGTTGCCACCTGCATGACCCAACCAGGCCCGGGGACAAACTGCAGCTGAGGTACGTGCCCTTAGTGGGAACCGAATCCCGCTGTCTCTGGACCACAGGCCGATGCTCTAACTGCTGAGCCAAACCAGCTAGGGTTGATTAAAGAAGTTCTTGTTGTTTTAAATATGCTTTTATTGCCCTGGCCGATTTTGCTCAGCGGTTAGAGCGTCGGCCTGCGGTCCGGAGAGACCCGGGTTCGGTTCCGGCTAAGGGTGTGTACCTCGGTTGCAGTTTGTCCGCGGCCCTGGTTGGTCGTGCGGGTGGCAGCCACTCGATGTGTCCCTTTCACGTCGATGTTTCCCTCTCTCTCCCTCCCCCCCCCACCCCCCACTCTATCTGAACAAAAAATGGAAAAATGTCCTCGGGTGAGGATAAAAAAAATAAATAAATATGCTTTTATTGATTTTTTTAGAGAGAGAAAGGGAGAGAGTTAGAAACATTGATGAGAGAAACATCCATTGGCTGCCTCTTGCATCCCCTCGCAGTGGGAATCGAGCCTGAAACCCAGGCAGGTACCCTGACCGGGAATGGAACTAGTACTTCTCAGTCCATGGGACGATGCTCAGTCCACTAAGCCACACCTGCCGGTTGGGCAATTAAAGAAGTTTGTTTTGTTTTGTTTTGTTTTGGTACATGTCCCTAACGGGAACCGAACCTGAGACTCTCTGGTCCGCAGGCCGACGCTCCAACCACTGAGCCAAACCGGCCAGGGCGGAAGTTCTTTTTTTTTTAAATCCTCACCGGATATTTTTCCATTTATCCTCAGGTAGAGTCGGAGGTGGGGAGAGAGAGAAAGAAACATCCACATCCATTGTCTCCTACATTATCCTGACCAGGGCCAGGGACTGAACCGCAACCGAAGTACATGTCCTTGACCGGAATCGAACCCGAGACTCCTTGGGCCTTGGGCCTGGCGCTCTAACCATTGAGCAAAACTGGCCAGGGCCAATTAAGGAAGTTTTTAGTGAAAGTATGTATTGTCTGCCTAGCAATAGGTTTCCTTTGAACTCTGGAAAATCATAGAAACTAAAATTCTTATTTGGGTAGCAATTAGGAAATGGTATAGTCACGTGACAATATATATGATACTGAAAATATAAGTATTGTGATAAGTCAGTAATTAATGATTAATATGTTTGTACTTTATAAGGAAAGGTTTCATGGAGAATTTGGGATTTAAGATGATTTAAAGGTTGGATGTGAGTTTATAGAAGAGATGTATGAATAGGGAGTAGGCAGTATGAACAGAGGCTAGGAATTTCAATGTCAGACAGTAACTTAAAGATATTTAGGGGCAAGAACCAACATATGGGCAAAGTAGCTGTGGCATAATTAATTTGTCTGCCATCACAAATTGCTTAATGTTGCACATTTGATAAGTGGAAAATCATGAATTCAAGTCTTTTGAACTTAAAATCCTTGCTATATCACATTGTTTATATCAACATTCACTGCTGTATCATCATTCACTGAGACTCTACTTGGTGCCACTACATCCTGAGAATACAGTACTTTCTGAGAGACAGAGGTGTGTATGTGTATATACATGTGTCTATGTACTGTGTGATTCCTTGTGACAGTCACTCAGTGCATATACTTTGGAGATGTTAATCTGCTTTTCCCATGATTATCTCATAGTGGGAGTACCTCCTTGGGTGGAGATGCTAGCGTTTAAAGAATATTGGTATATTAGTATAATATAGCCATTAAATGCAAAAAAAAAAAAAAAATCTACTTAATGTAGTGTTTCAAAGCTCGACACAATTTGGGTTGGATTTCATTGAGCAATAATATGTCATTCTCCAATATGGCACACCTTCCCTCGGAATTAATGAGTATAGTTGACTATATGTGATTTTCATTTGCTGAATAAAAAACCTGCAACTGTACTGTACCTGTTTGGACCTTGTCAACTGGTAGTCAACTGCTAGTTAAATAGTGAGTGTTTACTATTTACTAAATGAAATTATCTTTATATCATTTTACTTACTTATTTATTTATTTATTTATTTATTTATTTATTTATTTTTTTATCCTCACCCGAGGATATTTTTCCATTTTTTGTACAGATAGAGTGGGAGGGAGAGAGAGGAAGAGAGAGAGAGAAACATCGACGTGAAGAGACACATCGAGTGGCTGCCACCCGCACGACTAACCAGGGCCGGGGACAAACTGCAACCGAGGTACATGCCCTTAGCGGAAACCGAACCCGGGTCTCTCTGGACCGCAGGCCGACGCTCTAACCGCTGAGCCAAACCGGCCAGGGCTTACTTATTTATTTTTAAAATTAAAAATTTTTTTTTTTTTTATCCTCACCCGAGGACATTTTTCCATTTTTTTTGTTCAGATAGAGTGGGATGGAGAGAGAGGAAGAGAGAGAGAGAGAGAAACATGGACGTGAAAGGGACACATCGAGTGGCTGCCACTCACACGACCAACTATGGCTGGGGACAAACTGCAACCGAGGTACACGCCCCTAGCAGGAACCGAACCCCGGTCTCTCTGGACCGCAGGCTGACGCTCTAACCGCTGAGCCAAACCGGCCAGGGCTATTTTTATTGTTGAATGTATTACAGATATTCCTTCTTTTTCCCCTATTAACCCCCTCCTCCCTACTCCTGCCCCCCTGCTGCCTTTCCCCACTCTGTTGTCTGTGTCCATTGGTTATGCATATATGCATAAAAGTTCTTTGGTTTATTTCTTCCCACCCCCAACTCCCGTTCCCTTTGAGCTTTGTCAGCCTAACAACCGATTTGTATTTCTTAATCCCTTCACTTTTTTCACCCATTCCCCCAAACCCCCTCCCATCTGGCAACCAACAAAATGTTCTCTATATCTATGAGAATATTTCTGTTCTGTGTGTTCATTTTGTTTTTAGATTCAATTGTCAATAGATATGTACTTATTGCCATTTTGTTTGTTCATATTTTTTATCTTCTTTTTCTTCAAGTAGACTCTTCAACATTTCATATAATAATGGTTTGATGATGATGAACTCCTTTAGCTTTTTCTTGTCTGGGAAACTATATGTCCATCAATTCTAAATGATAACTTTGCAGGATAGAGAATCTTGTTTGTAGGTTCTTGTTTTCATCATGCTGAATATTTCTTGCCACTCCCTTGTGGCCTGCAAAGTTTCTTTTGAGAAATCAGCTGACAGTCTTATGGGAGCTCCCTTGTAGGTAACTAACTGATTTTCTCTTGTTGCTTTTAAGATTCTCTCTTTGTCTTGAACCTTTTGCATTTTGATGATAATGTGTCTTGATGTAGGCCTCTTGGGATTCATCTTGTTTGGGACTCTATGTGCTTCCTGGACTTGTATGTCTGTTTCCTTCACCAAGTTAGGGAAGTTTTTTTTCTGTCATTATTATTTGAAATAGGTTTTCAATTTCTTGGTCTCTCTTTTCTCCTTCTGGCACCCCCATGATGTGAATGTTGGTGCGTTTGAAGTTGTCCCAGAGGCTCCTTACACTATCCTCATTTTTTCTTTTTTATTCTTTTTTCTTTTTGCTGTTCCCATTGGGTGTTTTTTGCTTCCCTATATTCCAAATTGATGGTTTGCTTCTTGGCTTTACCTACTCTACTACCGAATCTCTGTAAATTATTCTTTATTTCAGTTAGTGCCTCTTTCATTTCTGACTGGTCTTTTTTTACACTCTTGAGGCCCTCACTAAGATCATTGAAGTTCTCACTAAGTTCATCGAGCATCCTTATGAGCAGTGTTTTGAACTCTGCATCTGTTAGATTGTTTATCTCCATTTCATTTAGGTCTTTTCCTGGAGTTTTGTTCTGTTCTTTCATTTGGGACATGTTTCTTTGTCTCCTCATTTTGGCTGCCTCCCTATGTTTGTGTCTATGTATTAGGTAGAGTTACTATGTCTCCCGGGCTTCCTAGGGTGGCCTGTTCCAGTAGGTGTCCTGTAGGGTCCAGTGTCACAGCCTCCCTGGTCACCCAGCTGGGCCCTTGAGGTGCACCCATCGTGTGGACTGTACACCCTTCTGTTGTAATTGAGTCTTGATTGCTGTTGGCACATCAGTGAGAGGGTTTTATTCAGGCTGATCAGCTGCAAGGACTGGCTGTGCCCACTATCCACCAACCTCTGACTACCTTGAAGGATCAGCTGTACAGGGGCCTACCACACAGAGCAAGACTTATTTCAGCAAGGCTCTGGTACCCACTGAGTTCATTCCTTGAGTGTGTCACTTGAGGTGGTTGGGTGGTGGTGCTTTGCAGAGTTCTGAAGCTGGCTGGCCATTGGGCGTGCTGGCTCTGAGGCCAGGTCAGCCACCATAGCATTAATTATGCTAATTAATAACTAAGCATAAGCTACAAAGCTGTCTGCAGATGGCTGCTTTTTGTGTTGGGCTTGGAGGTGCCCAGGAAAAGCCAAGTTGTGAACCAAGGCTGGTGGCTTCTAGTGCCAGGCCTGGGGCCACTTAACAAGAGGTATGAGGCTTGCTGAGACCAGATGCTGCTTTTTGAGAGAATTTTGGATTCAGATGCAGGATCCAAGACAGGCCAATCCTATAGTAAAGCAGCTGGTAACAGCTTGGGTGGGCCTGAAAATTGGGTGCGGGGGACTCAGGGAAGCACCAGGGCAGGGCAAACAGTGTGAGCCAGGTTGCTGGAGTCCCAGACATGTCTGCTGGCTTTATGGGGAAAGGGCTTACCAAAGGAACAAAGGCCTCTGACAGCACGTCTGTCCAGGAGAAAACTGCCCTCGCCTGGATGCCAAACAACTCATTTCTTTCCTGTATGTCTCTGGTGACTTTTGAGCTGCCTCTCCCATGCTAGAGCTCCAAGGGAGCAAGTCCCGAGTAAGTCCACGCGTGGGCTCTTTAAGAGGAACTGCCTAGGACTTCCTCAGCCTCAGTTCCTGCTGGTTTTACAGTCAGAAGTTGTGGGGACTTCTCTTCCTGGCACTGGAACACTGAGCAGGGCACCTGGTATGGGACGGGGACCCCTCACTCCTCAGGGAGGACCTTCCCAGCTGAGGTTTCCTCCTGATTTTTATCCGCCACACGTGGGTGTGGGACCAACCCATCCGCGCCTCCACCCTCCTACCAGTCTCGATGTGGCTGCTGCTTTAATTTCGTAGTTGTAGGACTTCCATTCAGCTTGACTTCAGGTGGTTTTGAATAATGATTGTGCTGTAGTTGAACTGTAACTTTGATGTGGTTGTGCGAGGTCGCGTAGGTGTTTGCCTACGCCGCCATCTTGACTGGAAGTTTCTTTATGTCATTTTAAATGATTTAAGGTTAATAACCTACTTAACAGAGTAGGAGCTTAGAGCATAGATTCTGGAGCCATTCTTTCTGGGATCAGATCCAGACTCTGCTACTTATTACCTGGGTGACCATTGCCTGTGTTTCCAGCTGTAAAGTGGGGGTGATAATAATACTTAGTTCATTATTGTATTTGGCATGTGGTAGGCACTATCAATTGTTAGTTATTAAAGATCCATTATCACTCCATTTACAATTTTGAAATTTAAAAAAGAGCTATAAATTGCCAGTTTCTGTATAATTCATGTGGTAGCAAAGCCTGACTTAACTAATTTCTTTGCAATATATGCCTATTCTTGGTTCCATACTTGACCTTAAGTTATTTATGTTTTGTTTATAAAAGCCCTCTTTCAAATACAGATATTTATTATTATTATTATTATGTTATGATACTTATTGGACAGTACCTCGACAGTCTCATGAAATAAAAATAAATTTGGATATATTTAATTAGTATTATCAACTAATTAATAACTAATGTTAACAATATTTATTGAATGTTTACTGTGTGCCAGTTACTATACTGTGCATTTTATATCTATTGTCTTCTTTATTCCAGTGGTTCTCTAGGTAGGTAGTATTGATCCTGTTTTTATTGTGCTGAGGCTTAGGGAGGTTCAGTAATGTGCCCAAGGTTACACAGTCACTCAATGTGCCAGCTAGCTAGGATTCAGACTTCATCTGGCTGACTTTTTGGGTAACTTCCATGTTCTTTTCCTTCACTTACACTACCTCTATAATTTAGAAAAATTTTTTTTTTTTTTTAGGAAATAAAAATCACTGATATACTAAAGTATACCATTGTTTTGCTCTTTTTTTACTTGTCATCTTAGGTGCTGGAAAACCCCCTATGTTTGGTGATTATGAAGCTCAGAGACACTGGCAAGAAATTACCTTTAATTTACCGATCAAACAGTGGTATGGACAATTTTAACTTGATTTTATTATTTATCATAGTCAATTAAAATAGATTACTTGAAGATATTTAAAAGGAAAATAGTGCTACTGTTGTTTTCATCTTGAGCATCCTTACCTTCCTGTATGCTGATGTCACATATATTACCTTGCATATTGTAGGCCCATTTTGAAATATCACGCCCCTGAAAGTCACCCATGTACTCGGTTACCAGTTAGACTATGGTACTGTACTAGAACTTTGATGATAGAACACTCCATGCCTTAGAAGCAACTCTGGACATAGCTGTGGAAGTTTGTGGGCTAGACATATTCGCCAAGTTTTTGTTAGGAACGTATGAGACATAGAAAAGGAATAGCCGAGGGGTAAAAAGGTGCCACAGTAAGACTGCCTGCGTTCAGATCCTGGCGCTACTATTTATTTACTAGCAGTGTGACCTTTGGCACATTATTTAACTTTCTCTACTACAGTTTTATCACTTTCATAATGGAAGTAATAGAATGTGCATTTTTCACTGGGTTATTGTGAGGATTGAATAAAATGATACATGTAAAGCACTTAGCCCAGTGCCTGCAATGTAATGAGCTCTCAATAAATGGTAGCTATGGTTATATCTTCACAAATTCATGCTTGTGTCATTTTTATTGAACATGTTCTAATAATAACTGATGACATTATTTATTGACTTTATTGGATGCCTGGTAGATTATTTTATTAGAGACTATCTTTACAAAATCTTCATATTGTTCTGTTGATTGCTTTGGTCACTGCTTTTGTGTAACTCCTTTATGAGAGAGTTTCACACAAGAACTTCATATTGAACCCTCAATTAATAGGTTGTCTGTACCCTACTCAGAGTTTAAAATTTAAAAAAGAGCTCAGCTAAATATTCAGCACTAATCATTTTTAATTGATTTTTAGAGAGAGAGAGGAAGGGGGGGAGAGGATGAAACATGTATTTTGTTGTTCTACTTATTTAGACATTCACTGATTGATTCTTGTATGTGCTCTAACCGGGAAACAAACCTAGTGTATCAGGATGATACTCTAACCAACTGAGGTACCTGGCCAGGACTGGCACTAATCTTTACTGTTTTGTTCTGAGCATTTTTCAGATCAGTGAATATCACTGTTCAGATTATTAGTACATTCATAATATTTTTGTCTTGCTTGGTTAGTATAATAAGGTATATTTGCTATGGCAAACCAGACCACTGCTTTTGAGCTTTGTGGTTCTTTTCTACTCTTTTGTAAATATTACACAGAAAAGATAATTGTATTCTTGGCTATTCTCGGGTAAGTAGTTCTCAACAAAGATGTTCCTAGAAATGAAATGTAATATTTAGTGTTTAAAGATTAGAGAAAATTGATAAATTGAAGCTTTTGGCTTAATGCTAGGTGGGAATAAGGCTGATTCTAGGAGTAAGAATATAATCTTAATTCAGTAAAATGGTTGGGTTACTCTGATACTGATCTAGTTCAGTTTTCAATTTTCTGTGCCAAGGTTCTCTTACTTTGGCTCAGATAATCAAATATTGACTATGTATACATTTTCATTCTTTTCCTTTATTAAAAACCAGAAATGTATAACTCAGACAATAAGTGTATGATTAGGTTTTTACTATGGTCTATGAGTTTTGAAAATTATGAAGTGCCCGAAGTGCTCTTGGTGGTAAATTTTATCAAAGGGTAGCATGAGGGTTCTGAATGGAGGGTCAGGAATAGAGATGTATAGTATAAAAAAATATGACGTATCGTCATTTGATCATGCACTACTTCAGGAAGCACGTGAGAAACTTAAGAACTATGATTTACAATAATGAATGTTAGAAAATTTTTCTTTATGAGTGAATAGACTAGAAAAAAACAAAAATATACACTTGGCAGTTATGAGAAACGCATCTGTTTCAGATTCATGTGTAGATGATTTTTTTCTTTCTAGTCTGAAGTTCAGTTTCTTTGATATATGCTTCATAATGCTCATCACTGAAAAAGATATATCACAATGACACCATTTATAAAATAGAGAATATATACTTGGATCAAGTTTGCCATGATCAACACTGGATATAAATCTGTATTGAAATAACATTTCTAATATTTGGAATTTTGGGTTAATTTAGACAAATCTGATTAGTTTGCTGTTATTGTTACCTAGTAATGTGGCTGAGGAATGATCTTTTTTAATTTCAATTTTTCAAGATTAAAGTCTTTCTGTTTTTATCTAGAAAGTTAGCTATAGTGGCCCAGTCAGTGTGGCTCAGTGGTTGAGCATCGACACATGCACCAAGAGGTCACCCGTTCAATTCCCAGTCAGGGCACATGCCCAGGTTGTGGGCCTGATCCCCAGTGGGATCATGCAGGAGGCAGCCAGTCGATGCTCTCTCTCATTGATGTTTCTATCTCTCCCTCTCCCTTCTTCTCTCCTTCTAAAATCAATAAAAGAAAAAAAGTTAAAATAAAAAGAAAATTATCTATAGTGTAATTAGAAACTCTTTTAAGTGACATAGTTGTCTGAATATGAAATCAGGATTGATTAGGTTAACTTTAAAAATGTCAGTTTTATAATTCTGAATCAAAAGAAAATTTACTCCTTTTCAACATGTATAGTTGTAAGTAATAGAGGAAAATATAATTTTTCTTGAATTTTATAATGAAAATTTCTAATGAGTGAAATATCGAGTACTTTTAGCATCAAGTAATAGAAACCCTGAGAAATAGTAGCTTAAGAAAGAGAATAAATTATCTCAGCACTTTGCAGGGCTGGTGAAGTAGCTCAGCAATCGGTCTCAGACCTTTTGTTTTTGTTTTTTCCCTATTCTTCCTTCTTGGCATGTTGATGTTTGACCTCCTGGTTAGTAGATGACTGCCAGGGTTGCAAGCTTTGTAACTTTATACAACCATATGCAAGGCCGGAACACTAGCAATACCTTCTTTTTACCTCTCTTTTTTTTGAGGAGCAAAATCTTTCCCACCCTTAAAGCAATCTAACAGAAATACCCAGCTCAGAGCAGGCATGGTTTAAACCTGGGACGAGGGGAAGATTCCACATACCCTGAGCATGTTGCTTTTAAAAAACAATTATTTTATTGGTTTTAGGTAGCGGGCAGGGGAGAGAGACATTGCTGTTAGAGAGAAACACTGATTAGACACCTCCTGCATACACCCCAACTGGGGATCGAACTCACAACCTGGGCATGTGCCCTGACAGGGAATGAACCTGCCACCTTTTGTTGTATGATATGATGCTTCAACCAACTGAGGCACACCACACAGGGCGTCTGAAACACTTTTAAGTATCATTTCCATGATTTTCTCTTTCCTTATTTATTTATGCATTTCTATATGAATAGGGGGCCCAGTTGTTAACCCTATCGTTCTTTCTTCCCAGTCCAACCAGTTAGAGTATATCTGTTAATCATTTTTACTGTTAATTATATATATTATTAGTTTATATCTTTATATGCTTGCAACTTATAGTCAGCACCTTTTTTACTTCTCTCCTGTGGATCTCAAGGTTAAAGTAAATGGAAAATAGCTTTTGCCTTATAAGAAGCTGAAAGCCAAATCAAACTGTGTGACTCTTGAATTTTTTGTTGGTTTTCCATTGCTCTATCCATCCAATAGTTTTGAGGCTAATAACCAATTAGAACTATTTTGCCCTTACTTTGTGTCAGATAGTGACTTAACAGCTTTACATGTTTAACTCAACCCTTCGACAGCTCTTTCTATGAGGTAGATATAATAAAACTGTATGTTAACGTGCCCATGGTAACATGAATTTGGAAATAACATAATTGTGCCTGTCATCGGGCAACCCTGGTCCTCTGGTCTCCACTATTGGCTGGCCCAGTTTACTAGATTCAAGTTGTCAAAAGGGAGGGACTCCAGCTAACTTGGAAATTCTTGGGGGTCACTGCCTCTTGGCTTCAGGTCCCAGCCAGATATAGGATCCAGGATTATTCATGAGGATGTTGCCACTGAAGTGGACAACCACCACCAGATAGTATCATATGACAGTGCCCTATGCCCAGATCTCTTGCCTGTCTACACACTTTGATCATTTTATTAATCCCAGTTCCCTCCACTTATTAGACCTACATTTTATGTGACTGACATTAAGAAAATGAACATTAACAGGCTTGAGATCATGATGAATGCTAACTTAAAAAGTCATTCCAAAGTAAGAGATTCTGATGCAGAGAATTAATTGTTCACCATTTGAAACAGGCTTATGAACGATGGTTATTTGTGAGTTATATAGTTTGGTGTCCACTATTGTAAATTCTTATGACTGAGAAAATAAATTAGATTGAAGAAGCTGACTAGTTAAAAAGCATATAGTTAAGAAACCTATTATATGTAAATTTCATTTTTATTTCTTGAGTCATAGTAATTGTATAGAGTTTTTTCCCATTCTGGCCAATTGGAGGAGCCTGTTAGTTTATGAACCTGAGATCTAGTTTTCTTCCTTAATTCACAGACTCTTGCAAATCATAGGCTTTCATATATGTCTTGGCTGACTTGTTTTCAAATATCATACCCCTGAAAGTCACCCATGTACTCGGTTACCAGCTAGACTATGGTACTGAAGTAGAACTTTGATGATAGAACACTCCATGCCTTAGAAGCAACTCTGGACATAAGCTGTGGAAGTTTATTGGCTAAACATATTTGCCAAGTTTTTGTTAGGAACGTATGAGACGTAGAAAAGGAATAGTTGACATACCTTGGCTGACTTGGTTTCAAAGTCTTCTACCTGTTTCATGAAGTATTTCTCTTTCCATAAACCAAATCTTTGTGTTCTTTGATATTCATTTTTTCTTTTTCTTTTTAGGATTGTGATTTTTATATTGTTTCTTTAATTTGTTAGACTATAAGAAGCAATTTCTCTTTTTTTGTTGCATATTTTCTTTTATATAAGTGTTAGTCATCGATTAAGTCTACTAATAGTAGAGTGATGATAAGTTCTGGTTTGTCTAGGACTGTCTTGATTTGCATCTGTTGTTCTGGCTTTATTATTAATAGCTTCATCTCTCATTCTCAAGAGAATGCTGGTTTAGACGATACCTTATTTAGTCATTGTATTCAATAACAACTTTTAATTGTGAGTTCACAAAAATTTTTAGAAGGGGAAAAGACAAGAAAGTTCAGATGTAATTTTTTTTAACCCATCTAACATATCTTTTAATTTTAATTAAATTAAATGAGATGAGATGTTAAATATAAGTCTGTGTCCTGAATATTGATTAATTGAATGGTGCTTTTTCTTTTCTTTTTCCCCCTCAGGTATTTTAACAGCAGTGATAACAATTTACTGTATTGGGGATTGGATTATCCACCTCTTACAGCTTATCATAGTCTTCTCTGTGCATATGTGTGAGTTTTTCTTTCTTAATGTAACTATATATGTCCTTAGCAGATACAGTAGAAACAGTATGACCTGGCTTTGTTGAATAGAGGAGAGATTGCTTATAACTACTGCTGTATTTTTAAATCTTTATTGTTGTAAGTATTACAGATGTCCCCCCTTTTTTCAAACCCCACTGACCCCCCCCTCCCTGTTGCTACCCCCTCCTGCTTTCCCAAGTTATTGTCTGTGTCCATTGATTGTGCATATATGCATATAAGTTCTCTGGTTTATTTCTTCCTGCCTTCCCACCCTCCTTCCTTCTGAGGTTTGTTAGTCTGTTCCCTACTTCCATGTCTCTGGATCTGTTTTGATTAACAGCTTATCTTGTTCATGATATTCCATGTAGCTACTATTGTATTATGGTTCATGAAGAAAACACTATACCTTTACTTTACAGTTGGGTTGTAAGAAAGTTAACTATCAGAGTTTTAACATTTCCATAATTCCTTTGGAGGACAGATAGAAAGAAAGGTGAAAATTAGCTTAGTTTTGAAGCAGAGTTGTTACCAGTTATGCATAGATGACAGAGAAATATATCTAATGTGGTTAGTTGTGCATAGGAAAGCTTTTTTTGTGGAAAGGCCCAAAGTAAATGAAAAAATACGGGTTCAAATGGTATTCTGACTAACCTGTCAAGTTAGAAACTAGAATTACCGTAGTGTTTCACTTGTGATTTCAGATCGGGATTGGAATTCCTTCTTTTACAGAAATGGAGCAGTTTATAGCAGATCAGGAACTTCTGTTTGGTGGAGACCCAGTTCCGCTCTGTAATACTGTTCCACTTCAGACTTGGAGTGTGTCAGCGGAAGTTTGAGGAACTTCTTCGCAGCATCTTCCAAACTCATTTTATTTGTTTTACCATTTCATATTTCATAAAAATTAGTTTCCTGGATTAAAAATGAGTTCCCAGACTACATGATAATCACTTATATTTTGCAGTTTTCAGGGTAACTTAATATAATTGAAAAATTAATTTATCTTTAGCAATTATGTTTAGGTTTAAGTAATGATTTGTGATTAATAGCTATTTATTATAGCTGATTGTTATGATAACTGAAAAGATTACTAATGATAAAACATGATCCTCTGGCCAGTATTAGCATATTGTTCTTTATAAAATATGTTCTTTGTAAGTGAAATGTGACACTTCTGATTGTTTTTACACTGGAAGAACTGTGAAGGCAGGGTTCTTAGTAACATGTTATAAGGTTTTGTTGGAAGATGAGCAAGGCAGACTCTATTTTACAGTTTAAGTCAGTTTCACATGATTAAATAAAAAGTCTCAAGCTTAAGCCTTGACTCAATCACTTTATAACAGCAGTGATCACTTCTCAAAATAGAGTCATATGTCCTTAGATGTCCTTATTGCTAAAAGTGATGGGGAATGAAGTACATGTATATATGCTTTGATTTGCAGGGCAAAGATTATAAATCCAGACTGGATTGCTCTCCATACCTCACGTGGATATGAGAGTCAGGCGCACAAGCTCTTCATGCGTGCAACAGGTAAAAGAATAGTAGGTATTGAGTGCAAAATTTGATTTTCAAACATTTTTTGAACAAACTGGTGAAAGGTTTTATTATTGTTCCTACTGACTTTTAAAATTGTACATCTATATATATATATACATATTATGTAGATTACATGACCAAAATGTATTTGTAAACTCAAAGAAGAAAGGGTAGAAAGCAATAATTCTGGGTGCCTTACATTTACTGTGCCACTTAATAATTGGAACAGCCAAATGAGGTAAATACTATTATTATCCTTATTTTAAGGCAAGGAAACTGAGGCACAGGTAAGTGAGATTAATAGCTCACTGAGGTCAGATAGCTATAAATTGAAGTCTTAGTTTGTTTAGGCCATTGCTTAATATCCTAATTCCAGATCCCTTGAGCCTTTTTCTTAACGTAAACTTTGCAGTTGTATCTCATTCATTGTGTTGCTGTGCCTGTTGCTAAATTAAATAATCCACTCAACAGATGTTTATCGTGTGCTGTTCTGAGAGCTGAAAGTAGTAAGCATAGATTTCTTCAGAAGCTTTCCATGTCTTAGATTTTAATGCTAGCCTGGACCTTTTCCTTAATGAGTCTAAATGTAGGAGAGTGTGTTCTCTTTACTGTTCATCCAGGCATGGACTCTGAGGCCCAAGAGAGACACTGTCTTGCCTGTCTTTTCCTCCCCCACTCCACTCCCTTTCCCCACAATGCTCTAGTCCTCTCCAAAGTGCATACTCACCCCATGATTATTTAGCGTCTGAACCAATACCTGTATCTGCAGGAACTCACAATCTTTAGAGACTATTTTATTTTTAGAGAGCCCCAATCATTAAAAATTTCATTGAACCTCCACTAATTTTATATTTTAGGTTCTGGTTCCTTGGGCTACACAGAACAAATCTGATCCTTTATATACTTAGAACCCTAAATATTTGAAGTCACTTTTTCCCCAGGTTCGACACTCTCAGATACTGTCGTTATTTCTTAGATGGCCAGTATGTTGAAGGTGATTATGGTTTTGAGGCCTCTGGTTGTCATTGTCATCTTAAATGTGGCATCTGGAGCAGAGTAGATTACACACATGTAACACAACAGCTTTCTATCATTTACCTTCTCTGGACACTGTTTAGTGTAGTACAAGAAAAAAAGTAGGCTCTTTGGATAGCTGTGTTGTCCTGTTGAAGAACTTAATGTACAGTATTTGTTTTTCTTTGTTCTAAAAGCATTAGACATTTAGAATTAGGAGTTGCTTTTTAAAATTAAAAAACAAAAAATGTTTTTCGGTTTCCTCCTCACCTAGTCTCTCAAGTTCTTTATGTGCATTAATGAGTAACAGCTTGTGTATTTTTAAATATTTTTAAAAGACTCTCCTATGCATGGGTCATCACGTTTGAGGTATTCTTCGTATCAGAAAATTTGAATCTACATATAGTTAAAAAAACAATAGTTGTCTTCTCTTGCTTTGAATATACTTAAGTTCCAAACTAGAGTAAAGAGAGAATTAATTTTGGATACATCTAATTGATTTAATGTGTGAATTTGTTAGAGAAAATTAAGAAAAGAGACCGTGTAGTACCATATCAATTGAAATTTGGCAGAGGCCCTGGCTGGTATGGCTCGGTTGGCGTGTTGTCTGGTACACCAAAAAGTCATGGGTTCAATTCCTGGTCAGGGTGCATACCTAAGTTACAGGTTCGGTCCCGTTGGAGCATGTAGGCGAGGCAGCCAATCAATGTTTCTCTCGGGCGAGAAATAAAAAAAAAATGGCAGAGGTAAAGGGAATAGAAAGGGTTCACATGTAAAGAACTTGTCCAGAGTGGGTAGGAACCTTGTGTTAATAGAATTCCAACTCAAGGTTGTAGGGAGAGAGACAGTAAATACATTATTGTGGATCTTGATGGTCTCACAATGGAGATCCTTTGCTTGTTTTTTTCAGTGTTAATTGCTGATTTGCTGATTTACATACCTGCAGTGGTTTTGTACTGTTGTTGTTTAAAAGAAATGTCAACTAAGAAAAAGGTAAGTTGTAAAGCAACATGACATTTCATCTCTGAAATACATTTTTAGCTTAACTATTAAGTATGGAGCTTAGGGAAGCCATGCTTTTGGAAATAGAACTAATAGGGAATAGTATATCTCTGTCAGTTAATTTTCATTTAGAAAACATCAACTTACCTTAATTATTTTAATGCCCAATTATAGTAATAGGATGCATTGACTTCTAGAGGTTATAGACTGCTGAATTACACAGCATGTTGAATTTATTGCTTAACTGGTAAGCCTGCATTTTGAGTCCGCTTGTGAGAATGACTCAACTGAAAGTCATTTTGAAAAGTTTCTGTGTAGTCTCACAGCCACAGTCGACAAGTACTCTTTTTGGCTATTTCATATAGGTCAGTCAGTCATTAGATCAGCTTCTCTGATCTGTGTATCTGAAAGTGCTTTCTCTGACAAATATCTTTTAGTGATTTTCTTTTAATGAAGTATCCTATCCATGAAGTATTATCTCCATGAAAACTGTAGTGTTTAAGGAGTTGTTTTATAAACATGCAATTAAAAAAAATGTTTTTATTGATTTAGAGAGAGAGGAAGGGAGAGATAGATAGAAACATCGATCTGAGAGAAACATCGATCGGCTGCCTCCTGTACACCCCACATTGGGGATTGTGCCCTGACCGGGAATGGAACTGGGACCTATCAGTCCATGGGATGATGCTCAATCCACTGAGCCACACTGGCAAAACAATGCAATTTTTTGGTAACTAGAAGGTAAGAGGGGGAATATTTGCTACTGTGCTAAATGAAGCTATACTTATCCTCGCCCAAGGATATTTTTCCACTTATCTTCAGATAGAGTGGGAGGGAGAGAGAGAGAAATATCGACGTGAGACAGACACATAGACTGGTTGCCTTCCACATGACCCCGACCAGGACCAGGGACTGAACCACAACCGAGGTATGTGCCCTTGACCGGAATCAAACCGGAGAGTCTTTGGTCCGCGGGCCAAATCTCTTAACTGCTGAGCCAGACCTGCCAGGGCTGATGCTATATTTTGACCCTGTTTGATTCAAGTAATAGATTATTCTCTTAATTCACAATATTTTTCTTTACAGGTTGCTAATGCATTATGCATATTGCTGTATCCAGGCCTTATTCTTATTGACTATGGACATTTTCAGTATCCTTTACTAATTTAGAAATGAAGTCAGATGTATACATATTGGGAAATCTAGGCTCGATATGTACAATGTTATCATTCAGTAATATCTTATTTGGCAAGGTACTTGCTTATATAAACTATTTTCACGATGGTATATAAGAATATCTTCACAAGGCTTTTACTTAAATAGTAAAATAAATTATTTGTTAAAAGTAGAATTACTTTTTCACACCCATTTGGTTTGGTAACTGATTTTTAGCTCTTCTGGACAGTTGGAAAAACAGTGCCAAGTATGGTTAATACTCTCCTGATTTGAAAAAGATGTAACATACCTTCTTTTTTGTTTTTGTAAATGTTATCTGATACTGACAAAGGAAAATAATCTTACAGTTTTTTGAGTTTTAAAACAAGATGTTTCTCTAACAGTGGTACCTGGAAGCTTCAGGAAACTGAAACTGAATAATTAAGTTTTACTATGTAGATTTTATGGGTAATTTTGATACCTGAAATAAGGAACATTCAAATGAACAAACCTTAGAGAAAAGTTGAAAGTTGATAAAATCTGTACTTTAACAAAAGGACATAATTACAGCAACATGATTGCCTAACTAATAGCTTTTCCTTTTGATACCAATCTAGTTTTTTTTTGTTTTTTGTTTTTAATCCTTACTCAAGGACAGTTTTTGCATTTATTTTCAGATAGAGTGGGAGGGAGAGAGGGAGGAAGAGAGAAAGAGAAACACTGATGTGAGAGACACATCGACTGGCTGCCCTCCACACGACCCCAACTGGGGCTGGGGACAAACTGCAACCAAGGTACATGCCCTGAGTGGGAACCGAACCCAAGACTCTGTGGTCCAAGGGCCGATGCTCTAACTCAGTGGTTCTGAACCTTCCTAATGCCGTGGCCCTTTAATACAGTTCTTCATGTTGTGGTGACCTCTATCCATAAAATTATTTTTGTTGCTACTTCGTAAGTGTAATTTCGCTACTGTATGTCTTAGGCAACCCCTGTGAAAGGGTCGTTCAACCCCCAAAGGGGTCACGACCCACAGGTTGAGAACCGCTGAGCCAAACTGGCCAGGGCCCAATCTGTTTTATTTGTAATAAAATTAGTATGTGTATCTGTCAAAGGACTTGCAAAAGATATTCAAATCTGTAGTTTTCACCTCTCCACTTTCCTACATTGATGTGAGAGAGAAGTATAATCGGTTGCCTCCCATCTGTCCTGACCAGGGATTGAACTCACAACCTAGGTATTTTCCCAGACTGGAAATAGAACCCAAAACCTTTTTGGTGTATGAGTAGACACTCTAACCAACTGAGCTACCCTGCTGGAGCTGGTTACAAGGTTTTTAAAGCTATATTTACTTAGAAATATAATAGCAGCACAGAAAAGTGCACTGAATGTAAATATGCAGTTTAATGAATTGGCAAACTCTAACCCATGTTGAGAAATATAGCACACTGCCAGTGTCCAAAAACTGTACTCATGCACCTCCCAAGTATTTCTTCCTCCTCCTTTCCCAAAGGTAGCCAAGTGCTATTTCGTTTTGCCCCTTTTTTGAACTTTATATAAAAGAGACAAGACAACACACTAGGTATTCCTTTGTGTTTGTTGTTTTGGGTTCAACATTTTGTTCGTGAGAGTTATTCATGTAGTTGTATGTAGCTGTAGTTTGTTCACTTACATTGCTTTATCATATTCCATTGCAAGAATACACATAATTCTGTTACTGCTAGACATTCGGATTGCCTCCAGGTTTTGGTTGTGATGAATATGCTGCTATGAATATTTTTGTAAGTGTCTCTGCACATGTACATATATTTTTTATGAGTGGAATTGCTGAGTTACAGGGTGTGCGCATGTTTAATTTTAGATGTTCCCAAATGGTTTTTAAGCATGGTGTACCAATGAACACTTCCATTAACAATGGTGTAAAAGTTCTAGGTGCTCATCCTCACCAGTTGTTATTCTTTTTCATTTTATCCTTCTGGTCAATTTGTAGTGGTATCTCCTCTGATTTAAATCAAACTCTTGAAGCTTTTGGGATTATGTGTTTGTAGTGACACATTTTTTAACCACTGTATACTTTACTTTTCTCATTTGTAAAATGGGCATAAGAATAACCCTTACTTTGTAAACTTTTTGAGAATGAAGTGAATTACTGTTTGTAAAGCATTTAAAGCAATCCTGGGAAATATTTGGTACTGTAACGGTATATATTGCTGTTATTATCTGTCATTACTGATGCTGTTGCTGTTGTTATTGCTACTTTTTTATTTTTGAGGCTCTGAAATTTTACAGTGATTTGTTTAGGTGCAGGTGTTTTTGACAATTGTTTTGGACACTCTGGGTCATTCATTTTGTTTATATATTTTTTCTTTATTGATTTTTAGAGAGAGAAGGGAGAGGGAGAGAGAAAAACATAGATGAGAGAGAACATCGATTGGCTGCCTCCTGCAAGCCCCCAATTTGGGATTGGGCCCAGAACCTGGGCATGTGCCCTGACCAGGAATCAAACCAGCGACCTCTTGGTGCACGGGTTGATGCTCAACCACTGAGCCACACTGGCTGAAACCCTTTTTTTCCCGTTTTCTGGATTATTTTCATTCTTCTAGGGTCAGTTATTTTCCCTTTTCATTTTGGCCTTAGGTTTTTCTTCAATGTCTATTTTATCCAAGAGTATCTATTCTTATTTAAGAGTAAGGACAGAAGAAAAAGCTACATGTGAGCTCTTTATTTATTTGATCCACTGTAGGTTAAGTGGACAGGGAGCTGGCCAGTACACTGTGGGATCCTTAAATTTCAGAGTATGGAGGGCTTTGCACTCTAGTGTTAATTTCTCCACTAGCTGTCCCAGATGGTTTATTCCATTTATTTGGAGAAATATTCCTTCTTTTGTTGCCTGGGGGTAGGGGGTAAATGGTTTGACTGCCAGATAATCTTTGCACAGGAGTGGAGTGGGATTTGATTTCTTCAACTAAAGATTTTCAGTTAATCCTCATGTTTTCTTTTCAGAATATTACTCAAGTCCTCTAACCTAGTTGGTGTTTCCAGAGTTCTCTATGGGCTCCAGGGTAGATGGCTCCTTGCTTGCCTAAGCTTCCTCTATTCTGTGCCTTTTCCATCCTATTTTATTTGTTACCACTTTTCCATCCTCTTTTTGTCTTCTAGAAATGTGTTGAAGTCTTGATCTGTTGTAGCCCATCTTCCTGTTCTCTTTATGGCTGTGGATTTATACTTTTAAAAATTCTCCATCATTTTAAGTGGGTCTAGGGAAGGAGAGGAGGTAAACATGAGAGCTTAGCTCACCATTTTGGACTGAAAAAAATTTTTTTTTTTTAATCCTCACCCGAGGATATTTTTCCATTTTTTGTACAGATAGAGTGGGAGGGAGAGAGAGAGAGAGAAACATCGACGTGAAGGGACACATCGAGTGGCTGCCACCCGCACGACCAACCAGGGCCGGGGACAAACTGCAACTGAAGCACGCGCCCTTAGCGGGAACCGAACCCAGGTCTCTCCGGACCGCAGGCCGACGCTCTAACTGCTGAGCCAAACTGGCCAGGGCTGGACTGAAAATTTAAGTGCGATTTGTTTTAATATAACTGTTATTATAATCATGTTTATAATCAAGCACATATATTAATTTATACTGATGCATATTGTAGAGGAAGTGTAGTGATAGCAGTACATTTTCTTTTTTTAATTTTTGAAGCATCATTTTATTCTCTAGTTGTTGCTGTTATAGTAATAGCTGTGAAATAGTCTAGCAGAAGCAAAGCTGTGTATTAACTATTTCGAGTCTCTAAAGCTAAACAGATCATTTGCTCTGTTTAACAGATTTCATGTATTTGAGGCCATTATTTATAATTTCAAATGTTTATTACTTCAGTACTTTCAATTTCTATTTAGAAATAGCTTTCATTATATATTAATATTGTGTAAGAAATACACTCTGTAAGATGCAAGATCGACCTCTCTTAATTATTGCGATAATCTCCTTGACACAGGAACAGATATAATTCTGTGAGTCTTGGCTTTGCTCTGTGGGGTGTTCTTGGAGTATCTTGTCACTGGGACCTGCTAGGGTCACTGGCATTTTGCTTAGCTATAAATTATAAACAGATGGAACTTTACCACTCCTTGCCATTTTTTTGCTTTTTACTTGGCAAATGTTTGAAAAAAGGCCTCAGAGGAAAAGGGTGAGTGTCTTTAAAACACCAGAATTTTAAAAATTACTTCAGAGAATGTATGTGGCATACTTAACTGGAGGAAGGTGGTCTTTCTTTTGGCCTAGGTGTTGGCAGTGGGGTGAGTGGAAAGAGAGATTAAGTCATGTTCTATATTTATTTTATTTTAATACTTCCTAACTAAAAACTATTTTGACCAATGTAACTGTCCTGGAGGTGGTGTGGGTTGGTTTGTTGGAGCATTGCTGTAGGGTTTCATCCCTTTAAGAGCATGTTAGATTATATACTTACTAGAAATACACCCTGATTTGACATTTTCCTTCATGGCTGCATAGGAATAGCATGTAAGTGAAATGTTAATTAGGATAATGATAGTTTTTTTGTTGGAGAAGTACACATCTTAATGGTTTTGAATCTCTTAACTCTGATTGGAGTAGACTCCCATCTTAAACTTACGTTGGTGGCCCAGATTGATCATTACTATACATTTGTATTTATTTTATTTAGCAAGATTCAGATGGATTTCTCAGAAGTATTAACCTCTCCTTGTCTTACGGGAGTCCCTTTGCTTTTGTTCTAGGTTTGTGTTGTTAATTAAGCTGGCATGCACAGTTGTAGCTTCCTTCCTTCTCTGCTGGCTGCCGTTCTTTACAGAGAAGGATCAAACCCTGCAAGTTCTGAGAAGGCTCTTCCCAGTTGATCGTGGATTATTTGAGGTATGTTTACAAACTCTCCTGTCACTCTTTTCTTATACCTTCCGGTGACCTCGGGGATGTTCTGTACAGGACACACAGGGGATAGTAACTTCAGCTGCCCCGTCCTTGCATTCATTCCTTGCCAGTTATTCAATCCAGTGTATAACCTCTAGCTCAGCCGGTGTTTTCTAGTACATTACGTGCATAGGTGATATTCATGTCGTCACGAGACCCCTAATCCAGTTAGACATTTTTCTATAGAAGTAGGGTCCACAATGAAAGACAGCATGAGAAGTTGCAGCTACAAAGTTAAGAGCTCTGTAATTTTTTGGTTTATATTCTCTTTTTAGCCTTAGGAAATTATTTATTAAACTAATAATCATGTTTGTTTCAGAAAGATCTCATAATTCTTTATGAGCTGTATAAATATAACCTTCATCCATAGTAATTTTTAATGAGAATCTTTTTCATTTCATCTAGTGCTAGCCTAATTACTCTTGTTAAACTTTAATTACATGGATAATTTGATGATTTAAATTTAGTAATTAAATTAAACAAACCATTTTCTGAAACAAAAAGGCCTTTTAATAAAGTTAGACAGAGACAACATATTTATAGATAATTTGCTTTTGAATAAACATTTCTTTTAAAAAGAATTAGAAAAGCATTTATTTCTATTTTTGGAATATATACATCTGTGAGGGGATGGAACCAGCATTTTGAAAGAAAACTAGAGAGTTTGGTTTTGTGAAGGATCAGGAATATGTGACTTGTATGTTGATGGAGATGCTGCTGCTGCTGCTAATACTGATAATCATAAATAATCAGTTATTACCGCTTATTAGGTGCCAGATACCTCACATGATTTTATTTGATCCTTACAATAGCTCTGAGGTAGCAGTTGTACCCACGTTACAGATCAGAAAATGGAGGTCATATAGCTAGTGTGTGGCAGAGCGGTGATTTGAACTTTGAAAATTGTGCTCCACACTTCTTTCTATTTTTCTAACCTTAACACTTATACAGTATAGAGAAGAGTTTGATTCTCCGTGTAAGCTGCCTGGTTATTTGCCTTGCCTTCCCTTTCAGAAATGGTATTTATCATGATACTTATTAAAAAAATGAATGTTATATATGTGTGGTGGTGTTGCTAGTCACCTCCATTCACTTGCTGCTCTCAGAGGCTGAAGAGCATTTTCTTTGATCTGACAGAGGCATGTCTGGTGGTACAGCTGTCAGTGATAGTTCCTTCCTTGATGTTTTGCCTGCACAGCTGTGAGTGAAGCAGCTGTGTAGAGGATGGGTTTCACGAACACAGAGCTGTAGTTACACATTTAATTTTGAAAGTGATCCTAGCACAACTGCTAATGTCTTTACACTTCTTGATTTATTAGCAATTAACTCTTGTCATTGCTAGTAGGAAGTTAGATAATTTCAGATGTGTGATAAAACAGGTCACATAGTATGTGTTCTACAAATTATGAAAACAGAAGACTTTCTAGAAAAAATGTCCAGAGATGAATAACTTCATTATTTAGGGATACTGTGCTGTGCTTCGAAAAATATTAACTATTTCTTGGTAACTTCTGGATTATGGTTGGGTATTAATTAAGATAAGCTTCCATTGTAAAAAAAGAAAAGAAAAATACTTGTCTGTGTATACGTATGCATTACTTAGAGAGTTTTATCAACTTAGTTATAAAATTGTGAACAAAAGCTTCATGTCATACAAGTTTATTTAGAGATTATAGGCTGTACTTCGCAGAGTTTATTATTTCTTTCATTTATATCAGAATATAAAACTAACAAATCTCTTTTAAGGATAAAGTAGCCAATGTTTGGTGTAGCTTAAGTGTCTTTCTGAAGATCAAAGATATTTTGCCACGTCACATCCAGATAATAATCAGGTAAGAAACACAGAGTGTGTATATGATGTTTTATTGCTTTCCCTAAAAGTGTTATGGTAATATCTCATTTACCTGGACTCATTAGGGAATGAGTTCTTCATTAGTGAATTTTCCACATAGCGTAAACCTATCCCTCTACACAACAGAACTCTTTTATTTGAAATTTAAAAAAATTTTTTTTTTTTCTTTATTGATTTTTAGAGAGAAAGGAAGGGAGAGAGAGATGGAAACATTGATGAGTGAGAACATTCATTGGCCGCCTCCTGCATGCCCCCCACAGGGGATTTGGCCCACAACCTGGGCATGTGCCCTGACCGGTAATCGAACCGGGACCTCTTGGTGCATGCGTCAACGCTCAACCACTGAGCCGCACTGGCCGGGCTGAAATATTTTTATGTGAAAATCTTCCTGAATTGTTAACCTATTTCCCTCCTACTTTATCAGAGAGTGTGCTAACCATGATTTAACATTATGTAGAAGAGTCGTGATTTTCAGTGGTGTATCTGTCAGGGTTCAACTGGAGAATAAGAATGAGTTGGAGATCAGATGTATGTGTGTATGTGTGTAGGTTTAGGTGTCTGTGTGTGTCCATTCGTCTGTGTCTCTGCATGTATGAATTTGCTCTGAGGCATTGGCTTATACAATTGTGGGGGCTGGAATATTTAAGGGGAAGGAAGAGCTATTCAGAACCAGCTGCTGTTAAGAATCTCCCAGCTTAGGGAAGGCCTAAACCCTTTTAAAGGGCTCCCAAATGATTGAGTCAGGCACACCCAGGACTGTCTCCCTATAGATTAATTTAAAATCGACTGATTAGGGACTTTTATTAGAACTGTGAAATCTCTTCCCAACAGCACCAAGATTAGTGTTTGAAGAACTGGGTGAAGGTGTGTGTGTGCTTACAACAGGGATGCTGCCTCTCTCTGTTCTCCAGTTCTTTCAAGAATATCCCATTCACCCCTGGCTGGTTTGGCTCAGCATTTAGAGCATCAGCCTGCAGTCCAGAGAGACCCGGGTTTGGTTCCCGCTGGGGGCTCGTACCTCGGTTGCAGTTTGTCCCCGGCCCTGGTTGGTCGTGTGGGTGGCAGCCACTCGATGTGTCCCTTTCACGTCGATGTTTCTCTCTCTCTCTCTCTCTCTCTCCCTCCCTCTCTCCCTCTCTCCCTCCCACTCTCTCTGAACAAAAAATGGAAACATGTCGGGTGAGGATTAAAAAAAGAGAATATATGCCCTGGCCGGTTTGGCTCAGCGGTTGGAGCGTCGGCCTGCGGTACAGAGAGACCCGGGTTCGGTTCCCGCTAAGGGCACGTACCTCGGTTGCAGTTTGTCCCCGGCCCTGGTTGGTCGTGCGGGTGGCAGCCACTCGATGTGTCCTTTCACATCGATGTTTCTCTCTCTCTCTCTCTTCCTCTCTCTCCCTCCCGCTCTATCTGAACAAAAAATGGAAAAATGTCCTCGGGTGAGGATAAAAAAAAATAAATAAATAAAAAAAAAATAAAAAAAAAAAAAAAAAAAAAAAAAAAAAAAAAAAAAAAGAGAATATCCCGTGTAGCCTATGTGACAGGGAACTGTAGTCCAGCCTAGCCAAGCTGACATACCACAGAGCCACCACAAGTGAGACAGTCAGTTACTGCACTGTTACCATCCTTGTTTCAGGGCTGTTTGCCATCGTACCACATGGCTCCAGATGGCTCTGCTTATGGAGTTCTTACCCCCTTGCCATCAGTCATCACTAGGAGCCGCTCTAGGAGCTTCTAACTTTTCTTTTTTTTTACCATGGGCTTGAAAATCAAATGATCAACTTTTGTGAAATGAGGGCCAGAGAGATTCTCTCATGAGTACATTTTGTGAGTGTTTCTGTTATAAATATAGTATTGTCTCTACACTTGGTTATGTTTTCTTATTTGGAGTCTTTGATAATTGATGTTTTGCTATCTGTCTCTCTATATTTTCTGTAAATGATACTAAATAGTAAAATAACATAAGCAACGTTTAATACTATAATGTTTTCTGTATTATTTAATCATACATATATTAAAGAGTGTACATATTTCAATGTATGGATTTTATTTAAATGTTATTTAGTCTTAAATTTAAAAAATAAAATCTTTAATTTAAAATCAATTTAAGTTGATAAGGGATGCAATCCTGACATTTTAAAAAACATTTATTTAAGCTATATACCTTTACAGAGAAAACAAATATTTTATTTTTATTCATTTTTTAGCTTTTGTTTTACATTTTTGAGCCTGCTTCCTGCATGTATAAAATTAATACTTCAGCCCTCTCCCAAAGGATTCAGATTTACTCTGGTAAGTTTCTTATTACTTTAGATACATAATTCTTGCTGCAACTGATCTTTTAAAAATAGAGATAATTATTTTCTTGTTCCAAACTGCTTTATTGGATTGGGACATCCATTCACTTGAAGGACATTTGTTGAGTGTCTGCTGCACTTAGATGCTGTGCTGGGCTCTAGGTTGAGCAATCAGAATCTTTCAGTTTAATTGAACAGTTGTTTAAGTTCTGCTTTGTATTAGTCAATGAGGGGATACAAAGAAAACAGTGGCGATCGACATGTGCTTAAACAGTTATGTGATAAAGCAGATGGTATTAAGTTTCGTTTGGTACACATCAGGTGCTATGACTGCAGGAAAAGGAGGTGTTACTGGTGGGGGGCAGATGTTAGACAGCCTCTTAGAGCAGGTGGGATTGGAACCAAAGTTTGAAAGCTGGGCAAGCTTTGGAACAGGAGGTACATAGCAGAAGAGAATTCAGGACAGGAGGGAGAGCTGGACGGTACGGAGGTGAGAAACCAGAGGGAATGCTCTGGAACAGCCACCGAACAGTAAAATCCGTGTGATGTGTGCATGCGTGTGTGTGTGCTGAGAGGATATAGTGAGAGAGAAGAGTCAAAAAGGATCAAGTTGTATAAGAGCTTGAATGTTGAATAAGTTGGAGTTGGATTTGTGTGCAAGAGGAGCCAGAAAACAATTTTTAAGCAGGGGAGGGGACAGATTTCTGTTTTAGAAAGATGACTTGTGTTCGTTTGAAGATGCATTGGTTCCATTTCCTACAGTTTAGGGTTTCTCTGAGTGGATTTATAAATTCCTCCAGGTTGTATTTCTGTGGTACTTTTACAGTTTTATTCCTGTGTGCCTTGGCCTATAAAATGACACTTTAAAAATATCTTTTAATATGTCAAGAACATTTGGTTTATGAAAACAGTTAAGTCAGTGCACTTGATCAGGAGACAACATTTTAGAAACGAGGTCTCAGTTCTGGGACTGCCTCACACTCACACCGCATACGAAAGGCCGGCCGCAGCCTAGCATGCAGGGAGATGTTTCAGCGTGACCGTCAGGGCCACAACGTGAAGAAGATAGTTTCATGATCTTCTCTTTATTACCTCTTTATTGACGCTTTCTGCTGATTCATTCTGTGAATGAACTCTGAGCACACTGCCATCTACGGTTAATATTCTGTAGGACTTTTAGAACAGGAGGGATATGGTTAGAAATGTTCTGATGTCTTCAATAGGCCTAACTTGAAGTATTTGCAAGCATATAAGATAAGGCTGTGCTATTTTTCTAGGAAATAGCATACTAAATAAAGGTATATTTCAAATATAATGGAATGCAGTTTCAGAGTTTGAGTAACTAGTAGTGCTAGTGATGATTACTTTCAGGGATTATAAGCCAGAAAACTCATTTTCACTCTTTGAGTTTCCTAATTTTATTCTGTTTGCTATGTTTGTTTGGTTTTAATCTCCACTTGAGGACATTCTCATTGATTTTTAGAGAGAGAGAAAGAGAAAGGGAAACATTGATGTGAGAGAGAAACATCAATCGGTTGCCTCTCGCATGTGCCCCAACTGGGGCCCAGGATTGAACCCCCAACCCAAGTATGTGTCCTGACCGGAATCAAACCTGCAACCTTTCAGTGTACAGGACGATGCTCCAACCAACTGAGCCATATCAGCCAGGGTTGTTTGCTATGTTTTAATACAAGCCACTGTATTTAAAAAACTAGAAAAGACATCTTAATGACTTTTGTTATTTTATTTTTATTGGTAATGTTTTGAATTCTTGCCTACTTCTGAGAGCTTTAAAAACATTTCTCATTTTAATAATTTTAAAGCATTTTCCTTTCAATGAAGATTGAAGTATTCTCAATTCAATTCTCAATATAAATCTATAATTGAGGTAGTTGATAGCATGAACACTAATATATTTGTAGCAACAAAGTGATTTATATTTAACTTATTCAGGTAGTATTTATTGAATGCTTGCTAATGTATCAGGTTCTTCTCTAGGTACTGGCATGTGAGTGAATGACAGCTAACATCCCTGCTCTCCTAATTGGGGCCTTTCAGGCTCGTGGTGGAAGAATTACAATAAACAAAGTAAATCAATAAACAAGAACATGTCTGGGAGTGGTGTGGGCTATGAAGAGAATAGTGTGATGTGCACAGCTGCCGGCGGGCTTGGCTAGGAGGCACTGCTTTAGGCTGAGTGAGGGGCCTCTCCCGCCTCTCCAGGGAAGTGACATTGAGCCTAGAACCGAATGGCCAACCGGAAGGAGCCAATCACAAGAAGATCTGAGCTCTGACTTGATAAAAACAAGTTTTTCCTTAAGGCAGGACACATTTGACATATTTGAGGCATTAAGGCACCGGTCTGAAGTGCCAGTGTGAAGTGAGGGAGGGAGACAGTCGTGGGCTGGAAGAGGAAGGCAGGACCCAGATGAGGCAGGAGTGTGGATTCTGTTCGAAGTGCAGCAATCGAAGGAATTTAAACAAGGACATTGACATGATCTGACATGGTGGCCAAGTGGAGAACGGATTGGAGAAGGCGAGAGTGTTACCAAGTGGGAGGTTATTGCAGTAGTCCAGGAGAGACCTGAGGTTGGCTCAGACCTCCCTTCTGCCACCATCAGCAGGGAGGAAGGAGTGGGTAGATATTTGAGTTAGGAGGCGGTGTATATAGGATTTGCTGATGGATTGGATGTGTAGCGTGTACAAGGTAGTGACCCCCATTTTTTGCTTGAACAACTAGATTGGATGTATATAGATGTCTAATATTCAGAATATAAACTTCTGAAAATACATCTAAGTCATTTTTTAAATTTAAAACCCCAAATAGCAAATGATTACTTTATGAAACATTTAGTATTTAAGTGCACATTTTATTTCTTTTAAAATTAAATGTATTGAGGTAACATTGGTTAATAACATTATATAATTTTCAGGTATACAAGATTATAATTTAACATTTGTGTACTCTATTGTGTGCTCATCACCCAAAGTCTAGTCTCCTTCTGTTACCATATATTTGATCCCTTTTATCCAGTTCACCCTCCTCCCTCCCCCTTTTCCCTCTGGGAACCACCATTCTGTTGTCTGTATCTATGAGTTTGTTTTTGTTTTGTTAGTTCATTTGTTACTTTTTGTTTTCTATTCCACATATGAGTGAATCATATGTATTATATGCATGAAATGATTACAAAACATTTAATATATTTTATTAAAATGCATGTTTTAAAAATACTGAAATAGATATGTTTTTCCAGTTTTAGACTTTGGCCTTCTTGTTTCTCATGTTTTTTGATTTAAATTGTCAGAAATTCCAAGGGATGATGAAGTTATGATTGTTGTGTTGAAGTGTTTAGTAGTTTTGTTTATTAATAACTGAGTCTCAATGAACTTATTTTACATGGTTAAGTATAGTGTTATAATCAGTTTTTAAAAAAATATTTGTATTATATATTTGAATAAAATATTATGTATATTAGAGTTATATATATTTTTTCCTTCTAGATAGAAGCCACATTAAACTTTAGAGTTTTACTTGAAATTGGTTTTTATTCAGATTCATAATTAAATTGCAATCATATTTTATAAGTTGTTATATTTCATTTTCCCTCTTTTTTCTTAAAGGTTACCTGTGCACTCTCATTCTTTTTATTTTCTTTCCAAGTGCATGAAAAGTCCATTCTCTTGGTATCGTTGTAAGTAAAAATGTTTCCAGTCTTTTATTTATTATGCATTTATAATATATAAATCAATTTATTACTTACATATAATTACCTAAGTGCAAAACACAACTATGCAAATGTTACATAGTTGTATAAAATTATTTCATATATTTTTTATGATAATGTTTTACAATTTTACTTCTTTCTATTTTAAACTGAAAAATATAATAGAATTATTACCGACATACATATTTCTTCCTATATATTTTCTATATGCCAATAAAAAATGTCTTTCAAAGAGGCTTTCCTCAGGTTGGAGTCTCTCTGTCGTCTTTGCCTTTTTTACTTCCATGTCTATTCAGTAGCCTTGTTCTCTCTATTCACCTCTTTAGGGTCTTTCATATGTTTCCTCATTTCTGTTTCTTTTGTCAGAACCTTTGGTTAGACCCTACTGGCAATCTCTAACCAGACTACTTTGTTTTAGGAGCATTAAATTTTTTTTCTGGTCTTCAAAGAAATTGGGTGACAATTGAGGGTATAGTATCCCAATATTAAAATAGTATTTGCCTAGAACACATTAGAATACTTGAATCCCAACCCACAGCCACTCTATCCTTCACCCTGCTCTCTAGGTTCCTGTGGGAGATAATGTACAGTGACCAGTGGCAAATGGGAGGTGGAGCTTTGGACTGAAACCGCAGTGCATAGCTCATAGTAAGCTGGGCTGGCCTGTGTGGAAGGAAGGCTTCTTTGCTCTGAACAAAATAGTCTTATATCATTGCAACCTGGAATGAGAGCTTGATTTCATTCTCCAAAGTCTAAACCTGAGTTACCACTATTGTATGAGACGAGGCTGACCCTACACAAATCCCTAGTGCCAGGGGACAGAACAAGGGAGAGGTATTGCTTTCAAACACGTTTTCCCTAGAATTTCTACCCCATAGAAAGGCAGCCCATTCAGTGACCTGTAATCTGACCATTCAGATTAGCTCTTGGGCCCTGAATACTAGATAATACTTGTAAGAGTTTTTTCAACTACTTAACAATACAAGATATTATTTCAATTACACATAAGAAAAAAGGTTAAATTAACCATTCAAGGACATAGAGTAATAAGTGGCAGAGATGAGAGCAGGACTCGGATCTTCTGGCTAGCCCCCTTCTTCTTGAGCATTATTGCCGCAGTTGAAAGGTCACAGAGTTTGCACTTCTGACCCTAAACAGCTCTTTGGTAAAGTCGGTGGTCCCATTTATTAGCGTTACACTTCCTGTTCCTATGCTATTGCTCTTTTCGTGCAGCCTCTTCCTATTGTTTTTTTCTTCTTTTCTTTTATTCTGCCCTCATAAACTTGTTCCCCTTTATAGTTCTTCTTTGCCTCTGTTGTCCTCTCTTCAGTTGGAGATGGTGATCCTGTTACAACTTCAGTTTTTAACTTAGCTGAGCCATACGTAATACACAGGATCATAAACACATTTGAGAACCACTCTACTGGGAATTCATTTAATATTTTCCAAGTATAATGAAATATGTGCAGCAGCTCTCTTTCTCTGTTTGGATGTTTGGTCCATTTTTAAGCTACTGTTTGTATGACAGAAAAATATTCCATTGGTGGATTGACTTCTGGAAGAAGCACTTTTCTAGTTATTATGAGGAGGTGGTACCTTCTCTGTGTTTAGACTCATTTAGTTTGGATTGACAGTTATAAAAAAACGAATCAGTAGTTCGTATGAAGACCTTGCTGGCTCCTTTTAGTTTTTGTTTTTTTACCCAACTTGAAAATTAAGACGTAAAATGTGTTTATATTTTTTTACGAGTAAGAGTTGATATTATATTCTATAAGATTAAAGTATATTTTTCTTTACCATTTTAGACCTGTCTGCTTAGTTTTAAGTGAAATTCCTTTTATGTCTACTTGGTTTTTACTTGTGTCGACATTTAGGTGAGTCAAACCAATTTCCATATGATATTTTCCGTATTGTTCTTATTTAAAACGTTTTTACAAAGTGACTATGGTTTCTGTTTTTTCTTACAGTATGCTACCTCTTCTATTGAAGGATGACCTTTTAATGCCCACAGTTGTGACAGTGATGGCATTTTTTATAGCTTGTGCAACTTCCTTTTCAATATTTGAAAAGACTTCGGAAGAAGAACTACAGTTGAAATCCTTTTCCATTTCTGTTAGGAAATATCTTCCATGTTTTACATTTCTTCCCAGAGTTATCCAACATTTGGTAAGTTGTTTGGTTTTTAAGGAATGGTACTTAGCTTATGCTGGTATCACACTGTCTCAGTTGCTGTAGCTTTATAGTTAGTTTTAAAATGGAAAACATGTCTTCCAGCTTTGTTCTTCTTTTTCAAGACTGTTTTAGTTTTCTATGTCCCTATTCTATTTCCATATAATTTTTAGGATCAGCTCATTAATTCCTCCAAAAACCCATCTGAGATTTTGATAGAGATTATTTTGGATATGTATATCAATTTATGGAGTATTACCATCTTAAGATTTTGACATCTAAACCCATGGTCATTTATTTAGATATTTTAAATTTCCTTCAACAATGTTCTATAGTTTTTAGTGTATAAATCTTATAATTGTTCTTTTAAATTTATTTTTAAATATTTTATTTTTCATGATGGTTTTGTAAATGGAATTGTTAATTTAATTTTCATACTGTTCATTGCTACTGTATAAAAATACATTTTTAAAAAAATATTGAGCTTGATTCTGTGCTCTACGTGTTTAGTGGATTTCTTATGATTTTCTATATATAAGATCATGTCACCTGCAAGTCATGATAGTTTTACCTCTTCCTTTCCAATCTGGATGCTTTTATTTTCCTTGCCCAATTACCCTGATTAGAATCTTTGATACAATGTTGAATACAAGTGGCAAGAGTAGACATCCCTTCTTCCTGATTTTAGGGGGAAAGCATCTAGTCTTTCCCATTAAATATGATGTTAGCTGTGGGCTTTTTGTAGTTTGCCTTTATTTAGTTAGGCAGTTAAGCTATTCCTAGCTTATTGAGTGTTTTTATCATGAAAATGTATTGGATTTTGTCATATGGTTTTTGTGTTATCTAATGATATATGGTCATGTGATTTTCCCCTTTAATCTATCAATATGGTATATATTACATTTTTTGTTTAAATAATTTTTCTTTATTGATTTTAGAAAGAGGAAGGGAGAGGAAGATAGATAGACACACTGATGAGAGAGAACATCGACAATTGGCTGCCTCCTGCATGCCCCCTACTGGAGGTATAGGCATTCAAATCTGTAAATTCCCTTCTGTGCCATATTTAAGCATCACTCCATAAATTTTGACATATGTATGTTTTATTCAGTTAAACATAGAACATTTCCATTGTGATGTATTCTTTGGTTCATGAATTGTTTAGAAATTGGTTGGTTCCATATATTTGGAGATTCACCAGATTTCTTCCTGTTTGTGTATTCTAATTTAATTTTGATGTGTTTGGAGAGCATGTTTTGTATTATTTCAGTATTTTTAAATGTACTGACTTTGTTTTATGTTAATTTGTCCTTAATTTTTGAAGGGTCACATTTTTGCTAGAAATAGAATTATTGTCTTTTTCTTTAGCAAGTTGAATGTCATCCATCCCAGTGCCTTGTGACCTCCATGTTTTCTGATTAGAAGTCAGCCATTAATCTTATTGAAGATAGTTTTTACATGTAGTTTTAGATGCTTATTAGATATCCAAGTGGAGATATTAAGGAGCATTTGGATATATGCACCTGAAGTTTAGGGGAGAGATCTAGGCTGGAGACAGCAATCCGAGTCTTTAGCATATAGATAATAATTAAAGTTGTCACTGAAGGAGATCACCAAAGGTATGAGTATAGATTTTATTTATTTTTTATTTTTTTCTCCAATTTTTATTAATTTATTTTTGTTACATGAGTATAGATTTAAGTACTGAGTCCTGGGATAGTACAGTCCATAGAGATAGGGGATATGAGAGGGAACTAGCAAAGTTGCTGGGGATTAACTAGTGGGAAGAAACCAAGAGAGTATGGTGTCATGGAAGCCAGGTGTTTCAAGGTTATGGGAGTGTTGTGCTATTTCAGATGCTGCTGGGAGATCAAATAACACGATAAGAATTGAACATTGGATTTAGTGCAATGGAGGTTATCATGGAGCTTTGACCAAGGCAGTTTCATTGGAGTGATTGGGGTGAAAGCCTAACTAGTTTTGGGGTCACTAATGAATGGAAGAATTGGATGTAGCAAGTTATAGCCAACTCTTTTGGGAACTTTTGCTGTAAATAGGATCAGACGATGGTGGTAAGAGGTGGAGATTGTTTAAAAATGGGTGGAATTTTAGCATGTCTTTTCATACTGATTCAATTTTGTAATACCATGACATTTCAATCAGTCCCATTTTTCTTAAGTTTACTTTTTTGTATTTTTTATTTTGAGAGTATGTTTATGAAATCTGGGGAGATTGAAACAAAGGAAGGGCTTAGGGTAGAAAAAGCAACAGCAGAGAGCCAAGATGGGGCTGCTGTCAGTCACTGGAGAGCAGAGAGGGCTTGGGAACGGGTTCAGGGGTTAGCCCGGGACAGGCTGCCACTGCCATTGCTCTCCTGGTTGCAAGTCTCGTGGGTCCCTAGCGTTTAGGGGGTGCAGGCCTGTGGGGAAAGAGAGGGGGAGGGGAAGGGAGGGGAAGGGGAAGGCACGGGTATGCTCCGGGGAGGGAGAGCACCTGCTTTTAAGTTTAATCTGACTATTTCAATTTAGAAATTTTCACTCCCCACAAGGCTGACTCAGATCTTCCCTTTGGAGGATACTTGCAGCCTGTTTATACCTGTTTGTAAACCTTTTTGGCTTCCATCTTTCCCACTCTTCCATCTAGAATGATCATTGCATTATTCTCTTTCAGGTCTTATCAGTCCTGTCATAATATAGCCATTAACACATCTTTTAGGGTTCCATTCATGTCCCACCTCCTTCATGGAAGTCACTGACTACCATTTCTTACCGCTTGCTTTCTACATTCACTTACGCAGCTTCTGTGTACTTATGTACAATGCTAGGAATAAAATAAAGATCTGACTGGTCCTTGTCTTAAAGGAGCTCATAGTCTAGAGCTAAACTGTCCAATACAGTAGCCACCAGACACATGTGCAAATTTAAACTTAGAAAAATTAAATAAAAACTTAGCTCATGTGCAGTAGGCACATTTCAGCTGCTCAGTAGTCATATATGGTTAGTACCCAATTGTTTGGAGCACAGATACAGAACATTTCCATTGTTGCAGAAGTTCTGTTGTATGGTGCACTGGTCTAGAGAAGAAAATGGACTGCTACATAGTTATAATGAACACAGTAATTATTTTCACTCCTCATTCTGGCATTTAATAAAATGTGACCCTGTGATTTTATGTAACTAGTTCATGCATTCCCCCTAATTAAATGGAAAACTCTGAGGCCAGAGGATTCTTTTCTTGCATATGCATCACCATGCTTACTATAGCACTAGCTCATTGAAAGCGTATGGAACATGAAATATAATTTTCCATTTGCCATGGATAACTTTTCCTTAAATGGGTTCTTAGATTGGCTTAGAATTTTGTATCCTGTATTGACGTAGGGTCCTGGAACATGCTGTGAATCGAACCCTGCCCGGCAATAGTATCTGTTCTGGTAACTTTCTTCAGTGCCCAGGTGATAGGAAATATAAGACCAGGGATTCTCAGCTTTCCCTACACATGGGGATCACTTGGAGAACTTTAAAAAATATTGGGGCCTACCCCGGAAACTCTGATTTAATTGGTCTTGAGTGTAGTGTGGGCATTGAGATATATAACCTCAGCTGTTTCTAACTTGCAGCCTAGGTTGAGACCCACCATGAAGAGATTGTACCCCCACAACCCTCCCCTGCAATTCTGCTGATTTACAGCTGTATTCAGTGTCACTTGTATATTAAATTTTAAAAAATATTACTTAATAATACTTCTTCCTCCTCCTTACAGTGTCTTATGTCAATAATCACTATGGTCCTTCTGACGCTGATGGCTGTGACACTGGACCCTCCTCAGAAATTCCCCGACTTGTTTTCTGTGTTGGTGTGTTTTGTATCCTGCTTGAAATTCCTGTTCTTCTTGGTATACTTTAACACTGTAATCATGTGGGATTCCAAAAGTGGAAGACATCAGAAGAAAATCGAGTAGCTCTATCCCCAGACAAATGTGAAAATGTTAACAGTGCTAAACGATTTTGTGAATTTTTTGCTATATGTAAATAAAATGATAATATTGATTATGGAATTATAGGAAAGGAAATGGTGAAAAGCCATTGTTCTCTACACAAATAAAAGTATTTGGGGACCAAAGCCCAGTGGAGGCTTTTATTTTCTAACTATTGATTGGCCAAGACATATTGGAGTTTTGTTAATACTCAGTTATTCAAGTGGGAAAATGAAAAATGTCCTTCATCTCAGTATTTACTTAGGAAATGTTCTCTATAATTTGTTGTCTTGAAAAAAAAAAAAATACAGTGAGTTTAAAGGGGGAATTTAGCTCCTTCTTTCTAAAGGAAATTACTAATTTTGGCATTTAAATGTAGTTTTCTTGCCCTGGCTGGGTAGTACAGTTGGTTAGAGCGTTGTCCCGATACACCAAGGTTGTGAGTTTGATTCCCAGTCTGGGCACATACAAGAATCAAGCAGTGAATGCATAAATAAGTAGAACAATAGATCGATGTTTCTCTCTCTCCCTTTCTCTCTCTAAAATCAATAAATATTTTTTAATGTAGTTTTCATTTTAGAATGCAAGTAATGTGTATTTCATTCTTTAGAAATTATATCTCAGGTATTAAACTTGTGACAATCTTTTAAATTACTATGAGAAGGCAATAAACTGCTTGAAGTTTGAAATGTCTTATTACATGTGCAAGTTTGAATTTTTTAATAATGCAGAGATTAAACTGTGTTATTTATTTCCAAGAATGCTGATTTACTTGAATGTAATTAAACAATGAATTTTCCTGAATTTATGTCCAAGTGGTTTGAGTGAAGTCTCTTTATTACTCATAAGCACTCGGTTCTAAACTTCCAGGATCACTGTTAAACGCCCCAGTGCAGGATTTCATCCCTCTGTTCTTTTATAACATGATGGTTCAAGGTTACCAGTGCGGTGAGCATTGACTTATGTCACACTTCATGTTAACGTGGCCCTGTTAATACTTTATCTCTCCTTATTAGCAGAAGCCCATCTCTAGTATTCAATTGGTAAAAATAATGTATTATAACCATGTTGTAGTTTCTTATGCAAAAATGTGTTTTCTTTAGTCTGTGATAAAAATAAAAGTTGTCCCATCAACATATATTATTAATGAATATATTTCTTTTATAAGAGAGCCATTAAAACTAATTAAATAAGTATTGGTAGATTTAAAAAAATGCAAGCCAAACACACACAAAGAAAATCTGGTTTTAGACGCCGACAACCACAGGCTGATGCAAGAAGGTATGTGTTTCTCAGTCTGATAAAGGGAGTGGGTTTAGACAGAACGAAAATCAAGAAGTGTTTCTTTCTCAAAGTAAATGTGCATAAAGACTCAAAGGGCAGGTCTGCAGAGAAAAGCAGCCTTGAATCACTGCCGAATCAGCAGGAACATCGCTGTCCATGGTCACCATCTGTAATCAGGGCCCAAATGTCAGCATCTTGGCCGGCTGGTATAGTCTTATTTTTTATAATAGCATTCTTGTGTTTAGTACAGGATGTTGATTTAAATCAATGATGAGGAAGTTCTAACTTCTGAATAACTGGAATAGAGAAATGTTATTTGAAAATAAAAGAATTATATAAACATTAGTAAAATAAAATGTACCCACATTCAAGGTATCTTATAGGTAAATTCTGTAAATAAAATATTTTCCAGATGATTTCGTCTAATCTTATTGAGTTACATTGTAGCTTTTATGGAGACTTATAGCAATTACCTGAAGTGAAGTGTCTCATATCAGTTTAAGAAGAGTCCACTTTGAACTTTGAGAGATTAAGTTCTAAATATCAAAAATGTCCAGTGATTAATTAAGGTAATAGAAACAGACAATTCTGTCCGCTACACCCAAAATGATAGGGATGTTTTAATACAAAACATTTAGGTTTTATAAATATATTTAAGATTTCTCACTTTCTTCTCTGATGTACCTGTCAAAAATGAACGCTTCTAAGTTATTTTCAAGTTCATTTTAGAGGGAAGGGCTGTTTCTGAGAAATGCAGTATTCTCTGTTGCCAATAAACTTAGGTTTGCTTCTTAAAATGAAGAGAATGGGGTTTATGTTCATGTATCAAATATGAGGCACACAAAGTCATTTTCCTTTGAGCCCTTAGGGAGGGGAGAAAAATCCCCGATGTAGCATTCTGTCCAAATGATAAACCACAACTAAGTGAATGAAACATTTACAAAAGTCAAGGCAGCCAAAGGAGCCTCTCTGTTCAATAGAGAGAGAGAGTAAGAGATGGATAGGATGTAACTAAATAATGGTTGGAGTAACACAATGGTTTCAAGTCTCAATTGGTCTTTCTTCTGTTATGTTCATTGGAAAATCAGGGCCAAGTGTAGCCACCCCCACCCCCATATAAACATTAGTTTTGTTTGTGGATCTTTCTGCTTTGTCCTTCATGTGGCCTCCAAGGGTGATAAAGCGAGAGTCATCTGATCTACAATGAAGAGAACTGAGAGATGATTCTTAGCAGACCCAGCTGCTCTGAAAGGCAAAAGCTTAGTATATCTAAGAGGTCAAATATACAGTAACTGATTTAATAGCATTAAGCACATACCTACATAACTTGGATTACATATGAAACCAATCTACTTTGTAACCCTTTATTTCCTTACTAATGTAGATTCCTTTATATGTTTTGGCTTACATTCTAAGGTTTCCAGTGCAAGAACACAAACGAAATCCTTTCTGGTATATTTTAGGTAATGTTCTATTATAAGTCCTGTATCAGAAAGTGTTCTTAATATTTAGCAGACAGATTATCTCAAAAATCTTATTTAAAGAGTACCAATAAAAATACTAGAGAAGGCAATTAGGTTTAATAGTTAATTGGGCTACTGTTTAGTATCTATGTCATTTAAATTAATAGTTTTTAAAAATAACTTTTCATTTTAAGAGGTGAGTTTTAAATTTCTCTAGATGGAAACTTATTTTCAACCTTAATTTGCTAAATTTTGTTTCAGATTTTCAAGTAGTAGTATTTTTATGATACACTGAATTAAATAACATGGTAATATTTTATACAAATTTTGTTAGGACAGGGGAAGAACCAAGGAGTAACATTTATCCCCTATAGAAAAGCCATGCTAACACATTCTGTGATTCCCTCTCCCCTTTATTTTGTGATAACACAAACAGATGATGATACAAAATACCGCCACAGAAAAACAAAAATCTAAATTAATGCTCCAAAATAATTTGGAGGGGATCACACACTGCCCCATAAGAAAATTCTCTTTAAACTCAGTAATCTGTGTAGTTCAGTTTAAAAACAACTTCATATTTAAATGTCTATTAAAAAATGCATTCTGGTATTTTATAAAAGGTGTGAAAATGTTAAAACTTTGAAAATATTTTTTTCTCTGCAATAGAAATAGCATATAATAAAAATTAATTCCTAAGATAGTAGCTACACAAACTTCTAGACAAACTTAAATTTTTAGAAAAATCTAATTAATACATATCTGGGGCTTTATATGGAAAAACATACCTAATGCCACTCACCGTTAGATTTAATGAGTTAAAAAATATACACCAAAGGCGCCATTTTCATAAATGCTTTATTAAGTCTATCCACAAATGCCTAAAGGATACAGAAGTGTACATGATATAGAACATAAGTCAAGATCCTTGTCCACATGTTGGCTTATTCATTAAAGGGTCAAGAAGAAATGTATTATTTACATTGAGATTATCTACTGGTGTGTGTAGAAAGTTTAAATTAGCTGCAAGAAATTTTATCTAGACACACACCTGCCTAGTGCTGTGATCTGGTATTTACTGGGCAGATTAATTACAGACATTTCTGTTCCTTTAAATATGATCAGGCAGATGCAGAAGTTGGTGTTCATAGTAAGTACATTTCTTCCAAATACCTACAGGATATAAAAGATGATTATTATTAAATCATCAAGAATTAGTTTCCAAATTAACCAGCATGTCACACATGATGTAAGAAATTATTTAAACCCCATTTACCATGTAATTTCCTACCTAGTTTAGATACTGGTAATCTCTCATTTGCTTATTTCTGAGTCTTCTAAGCAAAATTCACCTTCAGAAATAATTGTCAATACGACTACTCTAACTGCAGCACTCCTCACTATGTGAGTATGGATTTTGACATACTTCTGAGAGTTCTAACACTCCAACCGGACCTACTGGAAACACCAAAATCTACATGCCTTTTGTCTACAAGCTTTTAGGGCCTTTCAGCAGGTGTTTCCTCCAACAGCTGCCCCCCCAAAGGACAGTATTTACTGAGATTCCTATTCAGAGCGTCCCTCTGGGGACTCCTAGTGGTGGTAGAAGTTCTTGTCTATCTGGTCTTCGGACCCTTGTGTAAAATGAAGCTTTTCAAAAAAGCAGTCATTGGCAACTCATGGCCTGTATTCCCATAGCGCATGTGGACCAGTCACTCCTGAAATTCCCCCTCCTAATTACATCGGAAGTTACGACGAAGTAGTGCATGGTGGGCTGCTAGACTTGAGAGTGTACATATATTCTCATCCTGTAAGATAGGTTGTCAACTAGACAATCAACTTTCGCCAACTCTCATTTGAGTCTGGTCTGAACTGTAGAAAATTTAAACATTCAAGTGTTCACTTAATATCCTTATAAGTTACTGATACAGTTATCAGAACAAATGATAATACTATAAAAGAAAGGAAGACTGATTCATTAGTTACTGTGGGGGAGGCACTACTTATTTTGTACCATTCCACAGGTAAATGTGTCCCATTTAAAAAAAATCAGTCCCATTATATAATTAAGATTTAGGGGCACCAAGTATCTCGTTTAAGGCTACACAGTTAAGTAGGTAATAGAGCTGGTGCTGGACATTTAATCCAAATCCTGTTCTCTATGACCATGCCAGGCCCTGTCAAGATGCTTTATCAACTGATCATGGCTGCTGGGAGAACTGTGTTGAGAAAGATTCTGAGGCCAAATCTAGGACCCAGTAAAAACACTCTGATCAGTGTGAGGTAGGTCACAGCACAAGAGTAGGGAGCAGCTCTACATCTGTTACCTCTACACGGCCATACTGGTTCCAGAGATGAATCTCAGAACACAACGAAAAGCAATTCAGATCCAGTGATGCAGTTTATGAGCAGTGTTTTGCCAGGATTCATTGTTCATACAGTTAGTCTTTCTAAAACATTTTGGATTGCTCCTTCCCTAATAATCTTCACTGGTCCACTTTTGCCTAATGAATAAAGCCTGGTGACCATAACTGTCAATGATGGGGCTGGAATCTACCATTCAATCATTGTTTTTCTGCCTTTTTTTGTTCACATTTTCTATTAAGTTTACACAGCCCGTAAAAATTGCCCATTTTTCAAATTCCTAGTAAAGTGCAAAGTTTCCAGCATTAGGGTCTGGTTGGCCATCTGTCAGATATAATGTAGAGTGGAATAGTTAGAGCTGATTTTAAAATCATGAACCCTTACATAACGACCTCATCACACCATCCTGAGGTGACCTATTGTGTATTCTGTTGTGTATTCCTATACTACTGCTTATTCTTCGTTTGGTACTTGGAGAGGAATGTTTACACTCCGTCTGAAGAGGAAGGAACTTGTCTGTTCTTTTGCCCTCTATGCCCCACGGAAGAGTGACACATTTGACTGGTCCCAGTCCAGAACACTGGTCCACCAGTCACCACTGATACAGGTCACTGCTCTTACACGACACTGTTCTCCACTATTAGTCTCCCTTTCACTGTCCACTCTCAAGTCCAATGGGCCTTTGTGTTTCCTAATTTCATGCTGTAAGGACCAGCCCATTCTCACAAAACACGTGAGGCAGGTGTGTGGTCTTGACAGTCAGAGGCACGTGGACATGGGGTCTGTTTCAAAGATGCAGCTTTCTCCTCAGCTCTAGGAGAGCACACAGGGCTCCAGATTTAGAATCAGGGTGGAAATAAGGAGGTTCCACTTTTGCCCTAGGCATAATCCATATCAGTGACCCCAAGCTTCTACCAGAGAGCCTGCCATATTGGAGGTTATCAGTTCCTCCACTGATCAAGTTGATACGCTGATCCTCTTTAGACTCAATCCTTTTTTGAATTTGCTGTTGCCCAGAACCCTGACAAGGTTTGAACCTGTATAGCTATCATAGCTTGCCTTATATTATTATTTCATGTATGTAACATAAATCTTGTATCCTTAGCTTGATTACTAGGTTTCGCAAAGTTGGCATTATGCACAATGCTGTTTATACTAGGCCTCGTTTAACCACATGATTCATCCACATAATTTCTAGATCAAGCATCCCAATATCCCCTGCAATAGCCCATTAACATTAGTCAAAACCACACTTTTTCTCCCTGCCTCACCCTTTTGCTGGTCTTGGTAGTCTGTGGCCTATGGGTTGCTGTCTCCCTTACTGACAGTCTCTCTTATCCTAACATGATTTTATAAGGCTTCACTTTTTCAAGGCTCTGGGAGTGAATTTGTATGGCGTGGGAGCTGATGTAGACAGAGAAGCTGGCCACACTGCCGTCAGGGGTACAATGGCTAGTAGAGTTTCTAGGGCACAGGACAAAGCCAGGGAGTTTAACACCTTCCCTTAGTCAGCCAGCTGGGCAGCTATGACAAGTGCACAACAGAGCAATGAGAGAACGCAGGGGAGGGAATCTGAGGAAACTTTGTGTAAGGTAAGTTATAAGGTTTTATTAAAAAAAATTTTTTTTCTGCCCTAGCCAGTTTTGCCCAGTGGTTAGAGCATTGGCCTGTGGTCCAGAGAGACCCGGGTTTGGTTCCCGCTGGGAGCACGTACCTAGGTTGCAGTTTCTCCCCAGCCCTGGTTGGTTGTGCAGGTGGCAGCCACTCATTGTGTCCCTTTCACGTCGATGTTTCTCTCTTTCTCTCTCTCTCTTCCTCTCTCTCCCTCCCACTCTATCTGAACAAAAAATGGAAACATGTCCTTGGGTGAGGATAAAACAAAATTTTTTTTTCTTTATTGATTTTAGAGGAAGGGAGAGGGAGAGAGAGAGAGAAACATCGATGAGAGAGAACATCGATTGGCCCCCTCCTGCATGCCCCTCACTGGGGATCAGGCCCACAACCTGGGCATGTGTCCTGACTGGGAATCGAATTGGCAACCTCTTGGTGCATAGGTAGACGCTCAACCACTGAGCCACACTGGCTGGGCAAGTTATAAGGTTTTAAAAGGTGGGCAAAATTTTGACAATTATGGGGTAAAAGGTATGCCAAGTAGAGGACACAAGAACAATGGTAAAGAAATAAGAAACGCCCAGCTGGTGTGGCTCAGTGACTGAGCATCGGCGCATGCACCAAGAGGTCTCGGCTTCGATTCCCGGTCAGAGCACATGCCCGGATTGTGGGCCCAGTCCCCAGTGTGGGGCATGCAGGAGGCAGCCAATCGATGTTCTCTCTCATCGACATTTCTATCTCTCTCTCCTTCTCTCTTCCTTTCTCTATAAATTGAATAAAGAAAAATATTTTAAAAGAAGAAATGAGAAAGGCACGTTCTGAGGAATGTGTCTGGAAAATGGCAAGTAATCTGGAGTGACAGGCACGGACAAACTGGAAAGGCAAATTTTGATCTGAGCAGGGAGAGTTCTGAATGTCAGTATAAATTTGGATTTTACTGTGACTATGGTACAGTAATATCTTCTAAAGCATAATTTATCCAGTAGCAGGACAGACTATATAGGAAAGGGACCAAAGGGCAGAGAGACAGGTTACAATGGGGATGATGATGATAATGAAGGATAAACTAGTGTAGTGGGCATGGAAAACAGAAGTAAACATTTTTGGAAGTGATATGACATGGCAGCAGTTTAGATGTGGGAACAAAAAAAGAGATAGCATTTTGAGGTTTTGAGCCTTAACATTAGATGAATGCCAACCTTAAGAAAGTAGAATAAAGGACAATCAAGGGGATAATTAAATCAGCATATTTGGGGGACAATGTATAGAAGCTGAGATGTGAGTTTATATCAGGAGTGCCATAAGTAGATTTGGAAATAATATACCCTAGATAAGAACTACAATCAAGGGAACGGGTGAGATCATGAAGAAAGTACCCAAGGAGAGAAGAAAACACAATCAGAAGAACCCAGGGAAATACCTCAAAGGTAAGTCAAGTTTGATTTCACTGCTATTTCTCTCTGTTGCTTCTCACTAAAAGGGAAGTTGTCTAGCAGGTCAACCTAATTCTTTCCAGTGTTTTGAAAGTACTACTCAAATTAAAGACTCAGAAGAACACCCTTAACATGTAATGATCTTTGCTAGATTCAATGAACACAAAGCTATTCTCAGTACTCTTAAGTTCCTCCTAAAGGTCACTAATGAGACTGTCATACACTAAATGTGTATGTTCACTTGCCCCAGTATATAACTGTGGATATGTATTTATGGTCTCCATCTAATGGTTGGATTTCCATGGATCTGAAATTTTATAAAACATTTAACCCTATAATGATTACTATGTGTATGTATGTGTATATATATGATATCCTTACTATTTAACAGGATCTAAAACCTTTAACAAGTAGTCAAATCTGACTCACAGATTACTGCTGTATAGTGGGCAAGAGCACAGACTGGCACTAAACTACACAGGTTAGTGTAGACCCTGCCTGTCTCTTAGGGAATTCAAGGTACTTAACCTCTTTGTTTCTCAGTCTCCTTACCTATAAAGACAATAACTATATTTACTCCACATAACTTGTTGTGAAGGTTAAATGGGATATGTATAAAGTGCTTTTAACAGTACCTGGCACAATAAAAGTGCTAAGTAAATGTTAGCTGTTATTATAAGCTATGATTTGTTGTGTAAAACAGAATAAACATTTTAATGAATGAAAATGATATAATTTTCTATATAAGATGCTTTTGCAAATATTTTGAGAAAAGGTACTTTATTAGGAAGCTGATATTAATCACTTTAGATACCATTTCCAAAGAAATGTATTTTCAGGATAGAATAGAATTCTTTCCTTTTGTATTATTTCTAGGAGATAGCAGGCAACATCTGGTTAGCTTCTATGAAAATTAATACTGACGCCACTAAGTTTGGGATAATGCTAGTTCTTTTTTTTTTTTAATGTTTTTATTGATTTTTTTAGAGAGAGAGGGAGAGATAGAAACATTGATGTGAGAGAGAAACACTGATCAGCTGCCTCCTGCATGCCCCCTACTGGGGATCTAGCCTGCAACCTGGGCATGTGCCTTGACCAAGAATTGAACCAGGACCTCTCAGTCTATAGGACGACACTCAATCCACTGAGCCATACCAGCTGGGTGGATAATGCTAGTTTTTTTTTTTTTTATCCTCACCAGAGGACATTTTTGCATTTATCTTCAGATAGAGCGGGAGGGAGAGAGGAAGGAAGAGAGAGAGACAGAAACATCATTGTGAGAGACACATCGACTGGTTGCCACCCACACAACCCCAACCGGGAGTGAGGAGGAAGTGCAACCGAGGTACGTGCCCTTAGCGGGAACCGAACCCAGTCTCTCTGGTTTGAGGGCGGATGCTCTAACCGCTGAGCCAAACCGGCGAGGGTGATAATGCTAGTTCTCAATGTGAACCTTCAGTTATAGGTATAGTAAACACTAATATCACATCATGACTCATATTGCTTCTAGCTAGCTAAGTTATAATAAGCTATTTATAAATATATCATATTTCACTTATATTGCTAAACCCACAGGAATTGTTTTGAAGAAAAGGAACAACTAATTAATATATAATTATTTAATCAATTTAGCACATTTGAAAATTCATAGACTGGTTATATCTTCTTCAGTTAGATGTGCCCTATAGAAACTATAACCCACCTATCAGTATCTATTTAGCTATTTATACTAAAGGTATTCAATTAAGGGTCCTCTTTATACTTACTTATAAATATGCCCACTCTGTCTTTTAAAACTAGCCTAGTGAGAGCAACAGTGTTCTTTTTTAACCAGTCTCTAACTCACAGATCTTGTCAGACTGCCCTCCTACTGTCTATAAGAACAGATTAAATATAGTCAAAGAAAGTGCCAAAGCACACGGCCCAATTTTCTTTGTAGATAGACAGTACCAAATTTAATAATGCAAATAAAATGTTTCCACCTGAATGAAACAAAGAACTTTAACAAGGCTATACTTAATTAGAAAGGTGAAGCATTACCTCAATTTAAAATGGCTTTAAGGAATTCATAGCTGTCAAGACGACATAATTCTATGAAAGAAAAAGATTTTTTTCAGAAAACCAGTTCAACTTTAAGTTATCACAGTATATGCTGTAGAATAAAGGCTGAATCAAAATGAAATTAAAATAAAGAACCCAAACATAAAGTTTTATTTTACATTATAATTAGCAGCTTTGGGGCTATAAATTCGCATTTCAACAGTCTACTGATTTGTCTGATTCTGTTTCAGAATGTACATTTAACAATTTAGGATGAAAACTGCCCCAAGAGATTTAGTATTATAATGTATGGTTATGGTTTATTATAATTACTTGTCTTTTGTGCCAGATTCTATGATCCTTGTCGTGTTCATTAGTGTATCCCCAATGCAGGAATAGTGCCTGGCTCATAGTAGGCATTCAATAAATGCTATGTGAATGAGGCATGTAAGGAGATAGCAATTTGTAAGTATTTGAAAATATTTCAGCAATTCCTTTAAAAAATTCTTAGAGTGACCACTTGTTTTTCCTCCTTCACTGGACACGCGTGGTGGGCCTTCCATCAGGCTCTACCCCAGGCTGCAGGGCTGCGAGGTAGAGATGAGACTTACCGTCTGCCGAGAAGCCCAGAAGAGCCTAACCAGACAGTGACAATACACTACAACACTTGCAACGTGATACATTTATAAACATTTGGACAAGTGCTGTGGAAGCCTAGAAGAGGAAGCAATTTAGCTTTACCTAGGTGAGCGGGGGAGAGTCTCACAGAGTATGTGACATTGGAGACCGTAAAGAATGAGCAGAAGTTTACTAGACAGAGAAGAAAGAAAGAGCAATCCAGTTAGAGAGAGAAGCAGTAGAGAGGCCTGGTGTCCCAGAAGAGATTCTAGCACATGGTGTGAATAGTATGAATTAAAATGACTACTTTCCCCCTAGGTGAGGTCTGAGATGAAGGAAAATCATCTAACATTTACTTATTACACAAGTTCTGCTTTAAACAATATAATTAGCTATATATAACACTATAAATATGTACTTTATTACGTATGTGTTTAAAATATACAAACCACTTAGAGAATTTAACTAAATCTTTTTTGAGGAGCTTTTCTGACTACTCTAAAAGTTAAAATGGAAAAAAAAAAAGTTCACCTATCAGGTGACATAAAACCAATTTCTACTAAATGTGCCAGAATAATTTTTCTCCACCTTAAGAACAGTTAGTCTTCAGTCTGTTCATTACTATCTTTTTATAGTATTTTTATTTAATAAAACCTATTAAGACTACCATACAAATCTCTTTACTTATGCTTTTATCTTTTAGCTGATCAATTTTTATATTGCTGACATCCCTTCTTCACCATTTGCTCATTTAAAAATTCATAGTATGTGAGATATGTCTCTGGAGAAAATGTCTATAAAATTTGTTACAGCTGGCAAATGTGTATGAGTCAGTGATAGCACATGACTAAATGCTTCACAGAAAATAAAATTTGTTTCTGTAGTAAGCAGAACTGTTTAAATGTTATTTATTTTTATGTTTCAAAGAAAATATATTGTGAAGTGCTGCATTGATTTAATACGCAACAATGTCTGTGTACACGCTGTAGAAAGAAAATTTATGAAACCTTTGCACAACTCCTTTAATTGAATTTTCCAAATCTCTCACCACACACAAATAATCAATATCTTCTGCAGAGAAAACCAGTCAGAATTATTACAGTCTTTCGTTTCAATTTTGTTGTCATCAGCACATACAGAGCACCTGGATATTTGTAATGTCTGATAGCCAGTTATTTATATCTCTTAACCAAATAATTGCTATTAAATGAATTCAAGTCTGTGGTTTAATTTTCTTTTTTACTGATCACATACTTAAAAGATAAAAATTATCATATTTCCAGTAAATTATGAAAGAATTTAAAGCATGGAAAAAATTACTTAAAGGCTGTGAAAGTAATAAAGCAGTTTGTTTTTCCTTAAATACTAGACAAATCTCAAGTAAGCAGTCAAATTGTATCCCCAAAACAGTGATGAATAATGTATAAAAGAGTATTAACAGCCCTGGCCAGGTGCTCAGTGGTTAGTGCATTGGCTCATGCACCAAAGGGTCTCGGGTTCAATCCCCGGTCAAGGGTATGTACTTGGGTTGCAGGTTCCATCCCTAGCCCTGGTCAGGGCACCTGCAGGAGGCAACCAATAGATGTGTCTCTCTCACATCGATGTTTCTCGCTCTCTCTCCTCCTCCCTTCCACTCTCTCTAAAAATCAATGAATGGAAATAATATCCTCAGGTGAGGATGAACAAAACAAAACAAAAAATAGCATTAACTTTACGGAGAGGAAAGGTATGGCCCATGTACAGCACACATGACAGCTGAACCCTTATAAAGAGCAAGGGACTTCAGTTGTACATTAATGTATGTTTGTGTGACCAAAGCTAGTATCTCTATTTTTTTTTTTAAATCTCCAGATAAACTTAGAATGTTAAAACATAGGGGGAATTTTTGTTGTTTCTCCTAAACCTCTTAATGTCTAAACTTCAAACCTCAGTGCTTTTAAAACAGAAGTATTTATTTGAAAAAAGATATTGTTTAATGTTAAGATATAGTAGAAAAAACTAAAAGGGTAGTAGGAGTAAAATTGTTTAGCTGATAAAATGAAAAATTTTCAAGACTGAGTGGGGGAAAGAACAACATATTTTTAAGCTGAAAAATACTTCAGTGGGTGGTTAGAATGAAAAGGCAACATCAAACTATTTTATAGTCTTAGAAGAGGAAAAAGTTTAAAATTTGTCCTGTAGTCCAAAAAACTTGAAAACTTTGAAATTCTATAACCAAGATGAATTTTACAATGTAAGAAGATAGTAAGCTAAGGAAAACAGAAACATTATAGTCTGTGCTTTTCTTTTTAAGGCCAGAGAAAGAAATTCTGAAATATTTTATGTTACAAACAGCTGAAACAAGCAACTTTTTTGAACAATGTAAAGTTCAGATGGTTAACATTTCATTTAAAATATGCATATTACAACCTACACGATTATTCTCAAAAATGATAAAATATGTTTTGGACTGAAGCTAAGTGTCTAGATTTCATATCTTGGCTCTACATTTTGCTTACATTCTTTTCAAAAACATTTTGTTTACTGGAAGTACTAGCCACAGACAAACAATGATGCTATTTTCTAATATCTCCAGAAAAATTGAAAATACTAAGTACTATATAATGCCATCTATTGACTTAGGAATACTTATATCAAGTTGTTTTAAGTTGAGGTTGATTATGTAAAGTAAATAAATTTCATGCCTTACCATGTGATGATAATGTGACATTCCATTTCTATCAACCCATTGAATGGTCATGTGTTTTAAATGTTCAGCATAACAAATTAAAAATAATTATGAAAATTCACATCCAAATATAATAGAAAAAGAACTTTTCATTTCATTATTTTTCTAATAGTCATAAAGCCAATATTATTAAGAAAAGTGAAGTTAGGCTTATTTCCTAAGTAATTTAAAAAGGAAAAAAGCATTTCTTTGTTTAAGAAATTTGTGGTTAGCTGAGGAGATCCTTTTACTTAAAACTCTATCAAGGCATTGATTTGCAAAATCCAGTTCTTGTGAAAACTATAAAAATCTCACTGTACCTTAAAATTTTTTTTGAATAAGTTATGTAAAGCCTTAAGAATGTGTGTCAGATGTCTATTTATTTAAAACACTGGAGTATTATTTTTACAAGTATACTCCTCTGCCTTTAATAAAGACTGCAACTAATGCTAAACAAGCTAGCACTGAAATTTAAAAAATATACAGCTAAGGGGCCAATTTGAAGGGGCAACTGTAGCATAAGTATAAGAATTCTCCTGGTATTGTCTACTTTAACTATTCTAGGAAAATTTTATAAGAATCTTAAGGACAGTCTTTTGATAATGAAACAAGTACTTTGTTTAATTCTCATTTCATAATTACCTAATAAAATAAGTCCAATATATATTATAGGACTGATTTTATATTATATATTTCCTAACTAATTTCTTTTAAAAAATTTATTTTTCTTTATTGATTTTAGAGAGACAGGAAGGGAGAGGGAGAGAGAGAAATGTCGATGAGAGAGAACATCGATTGGCCGCCTCCTGCATGCCCTCTACTGGGGATCAGGCCCACAACCTGGGCATGTGCCCTGACTGGGAATCGAACTGGAGACTTCCTCATGCATGGGTTGATGCTCAACCACTGAGCCACACCAGCCGGGCCCTAACTATTTAATTTCTAATATAATGACAATACCCAAAACATTTTTAAATTTATACAATTCTGGGTAACAATATACTAAGAGAAAAGAGTAAAGTAGAAATTTCTATAAAAAGTTGAAGGCCAGATCCCCAAGTAAGAAACATATATAGCAAACTAGTTTGAGATGTTGAAACAAAACTATCAAAATCCTCTTAAAATGAAGATATGAATAGAAATGGTTTAAAGTTATTAACGCAGCAAAATATTTACACATATATGTGCATGTGTTGTTGTGCATCATCTTTAAAACAAAACAAAACAAAATAAAAAATTCCACAAAAATAAAAGAATACACATAACATTAGGGAAAAGCACCCAGTAAAAATATATAGCTCAGCCATGGCCAGATAGCTCAGCTGGTTAGAGCATCGTTCTAATATGCCAAGGTTGTGGGTTCAATCCCCAGTCAGGACCACACACAAGAATCAACCAATAAATAAATGAGTGGAACAACAAATCAATGCTTCTTTTCTCTCTCCCTCCCTTTCTAAAAATCAATCAATAAAAGAATATACATATATATGTATATATATGTATATATATAACTCAAACTCAAATTGTAAAGAAAATAAGCTTCAATCTATTTTTCAGGCATTACTTCAAAAGAGTTAAAAAGTTAATGAAGGTTTGAATATCTTAGGAAATAAAGAGCTAGTGTAGCTCTCACCAAGAAACAGAAATGGAAGATTATATATATTCTAGTATATACAATATATATTAATATATAACATATGTTATGTATATATTAACTCAGTTTTCATTTAAACCACAACAAATAATCAATTAGAAATTTAAAAACATGACTGAATGATACAATCTTCTCTATGCACAAAGAAATACTTAGTCCTTAGGGAAACATGGTAATGGGCAAGTCAGTTTTAATGCCTAAAATATTACAAAACAGATTTAAAACTGATCATGCAAAAACACGGAAAGAATCAGTATATACTGGATAACTGAAAGGCGAGAACTGTTTTAACACATAGAAATAACTTTAATGTCTGGATAAATGTTTAGGGAAGGAAACAATTCTTTTGGAAATTTTTCTCCATTATTTTTTAGCAGTGACAATTCACTTATTTGTTCTATAATTTTCCCTATCTCATTTCTCAAAACTGTTGGCAAAAGCCAATTATGTAAAGCCTAATTCTAAATAGTTCTAAGAAATTACAGATTTAAAAGAAAATCACACAATTGGCATAGAATATATAGACTCAAGATTTCCTCCAACTGGCAAATTATAAACATTCCAGTTTCCTATTATGATCCTCTAAAACTTGTCAAGTTTGGAGAGACTGAAACCTATATAGCAAATTCTACAGCACAGGAGAAAAGAAATCCTTTCTAAGAAAGGGCTACCTTCAAGTTCTTAAATTCTTGGGATCACAATGGAAGTTAGCTGCTCGAATGAATGGCTCAGGAAGCCCGTTCAGCTCCTCTCCCACATAAGTTTTGGAGGAGACTTGCCATGGCTGCTGGCCTGCCATGACTTAGACGGCTTTTGGAACTGACCAGCAGGGAATCCCAGTACTTTCCACTGCAAACTCATCACCAGCTGTTAAAGATCCTAAACACAGTCTAACAAAATAGATTGGTTGAACCAGTTTCAGTTATGCCTCATGTCTGAATCTAAAAGCTGGGATGACTGGATGATTTAATGTTTTTTAGGAAGAGGCAAAATGGAATAATGAAAAAATCATACTTTTTGAGATCAGATTGGTCTTTAGTTGGAAGCCCTTCTCTGACACTTAAGTAGCAGTGTCTTTGGGCAAGTTACTTAATTTTCTGTTCCTTATCTTTCTTGTTCCTTATCTATAATGACAATAATATTAGCTACCTTGCAGAGTTGCTGTAAAGACCTGCTGATCCTAGCAATAATCATAGTAATTATTGGTCCTCAATACAAGGTACTTATCTGTACTCAAAAATGACAGACTAAAACATGGCAACTCATTCCAAGGCCTACCTCTGTTTGCAGAAATTGCTAAGTGGCATTCATGTCAGTTATATTAAAAAGATGCTTCCTGCCCGGCCAGTGTAGCTGAGTGGATTGAACATCGTCCCATGGACTGAGAGGTCCCAGTTCAATTCACAGTCAAGGCAAATGCCCAGGTTGTAGGCTCAATCTCCAGTAGAGGGTGTGCAAAGGGCAGCAGATCGATGTTTCTCTCTCACATCAATGTTTCTATCTCTCTCTCCCTCCCCCTCTCTCTAAAAAATTAATAAAAACATTAAAAAAAAGATGCTTCTTAGTTGGTTAAGAGGTTTTAATATTTAACAGTCCATGATTATTTTGCTTACTAAGGTGTGCATGTGCATGGGCCCTTAAAACCTGCTAATTTCATAACCCATACTGTGAAATGCTCAAAGGCATGAGTTAACAGTAGATGCAACATCATTAATGATCTGAAAGTTTTCAGAATACTGGTTACAAAGTAACTTTATGCTTTGTGTCTCCTTATAATTCACTATTAAAATCTGCTGTATATTTAATGCATTGCTGCCCCATTTGTCTGGATTCTTGAAAAGAATTTTTAATAAAACTAAAAAAATTAAATCTTAAACTAAAACTTATATTTCAAAAGATACATAAAAAGTTCAGTCATCACAATCCCCAGAAGAGGGGGTTGTGGGGGAGAGATAAACCACAGAACTTTTATGCATGTATGCATGAACAATGGACATGGACAACAAAGCTGGGGACAGGCGGGGAGGGAGGGGGAGAGTGGAATCAGTGGGGGGAAAAGGAGAAACATCTGTAACAAACATAAATTTTTTTAAAAAAAGTTCAGCCCTGGCCGGTTTGGCTCAGCGGTGAGAGCGTCGGCCTGCGGTTCAGAGAGACCCGGGTTCGGTTCCCCCTAAAGGCACGTACCTTGGTTGCAGTTTGTCCCTGGCCCTGGTTGGGTCGTGCGGGTGGCAGCCACTCGATGTGTCCCTTTCACGTCGATGTTTCTCTCTCTCTCTCTCTTCCTCTCTCTCCATCCCACTCTATCTAAACAAAAAATGGAAAAATGTCCTCGGGTGAGGATTAAAAAAAAATTAAAAAATTAAAAAAAAAAGTTCAGTCATCAGGGAATTTGAGCTCATCAGGGAAGTTGAACTTATCAGACATGGTTTTCTGCTAAACGCAATATAAAATTTTTCAAATGAGATTCCTGGTCTTTTAAGAGTACATTAAAAGACTCATAATGATTGGTTTTAAATGTTACAATGAGATGAAAGGATCTCTTAATATAATAAATTAAAACACAACTTTTTACCTTTGTTAGAAAGTTCTGAACTCTTCTTTTCAAACAGTTTTTGTTTTATTATTTTTGTCACTAGAAGAAAAAAAAAATCTCATGTTAATGTTCATGTTTATATCAGCAGTATTTACAACAGCCAAGATCTAGAAACAGCTCAGTGACCATCAGCAGATGAGGGGATAAAAAGCTGTGGTACATTTACATAAGGAATACTACATGGCTGTAAAAAAGAAGTAAAAGAGTAAAAGAGTAAAAGTTTTACTCTTTGCAACAGCATGGATGGACCTGGACAGTATTATGCTAAGTGAAATAAGCCAGTCAGAGAAAGACAAGTACCACATGATCTCACTAATATGTGAAATCTAATAAACAAAATAAACTGATGAACAAAATGGAACCAGAAGCATGGATATATGGGACAGACTGGCTGGTGCCCAAAGGGAGGGGGGGAGTGACTCAATAAAGAAAGTGACTGGATTAGCTAAAGAACATATATGCATATAATATATACACAAAGGTATCAAATACAAAATACAATATTTGATTATACCTTATTTAAAGATTGAGCACTACATGAAAAGAAGTTTTGAAGGTGTATGTTATCCCTTTACATTCAACAGGAATCCCTGAAATAAGTAACCTGGTAAAAGACATGTGGCTTCTTACTCCTTTAAATAATATTTCTATCACATGTCCAGTAGTGATATATATAAAAAAGTCTAAGAAATTTAAATTTGGGAAAATTAATAGGCTTATCGCAAAAGCTGAATATTAAAATATTTATCTAAGTTTGCAAACAAGGAATAGAGAGATACCACTGTAAACTCATAGTCTTACTTAGTTCTTTCGTTTTCTTCATTTCTCTTTTTAAGAAACATGGTCCATAGGAGATACCAATGAGATTTTCAAGCTTTCTACTGTCCTCCAAAGCCTAAAAGAAAGTCATTTTAGTTAAGTTCTCTTCAAATATAGTATTACTACTGACAAATGAAAATACTTTTTCTTTCACCTGAAAAACTTAAAACTCTATGGTAGGAAATTTACTATTTTCTGGTAGGTCAAATATTGTGAGTCTTATAATGCCTAAATAAAAATAATTTATTAACTAAAAAGACTAAACATAATCTACACATTTACTTTTAAATGTGGAAAAACTAGATATTATGGTTTATTCAAGTTCACAAAAAAGAAATTCCTGTGAAAAGTAAATTAAACATACCCCCTGCAAACTCTTTCCTGAACTGAATTCTCCAATCTGGGGCTTCTCTCCTATTCTCCATTTTAAAATGGAGTAGTAGAAATATAAAATATTATATTCTGTATATGCTAATAAATTGGACAATCTGGACTAAATGGAAAATTCCTAGAAATGATCTTTCAAAACTGAATCAGAGAACCTAGTTTTTCTTTTTTTAATTGATTTTTTAGAGCGACAGAGAGAAACATCGATTTGTTGTCTCACTCATTTATGCACTCATTGGTTAATTCTTATATGTGCCCCAACCAGGGATCGAAACCACAACCTTGGCATATGCAAATGATGGTCCAACCAACTGAGCTACCTGGCCAGGACAGAAGAACCAGATAATCTAAATAGACAGATTACAACTAGTGAAACTGAAGCAGTAATAAAAAATTCCCAACAAACAAAAGTCCTGGACCAGATGGCTTCACAGGAGAATTTTACCAAACATTCAAAGAACAACTAATACCTATCCTTTGCAAACTATTCCACAAAGTTCAAGAGGAGGGAAGACTCCCAAGCTCATTTTATGAGGCCAGCATTATCCTAATTCCAAAACTAGATAAAGACACTGTACTTAGCATAATGTTCTCTAGGTCCATCCATGCTGTCACAAAAGGTCCTTTTTATGACTGAATAGTATTCCATTGTGTAAATGTATCATAGCTGTTTAATCCACTCATCTGATGGACACTTGGGCTGCTTTCAGATCTTGGCTATTGTAAATAATGCTTCAAGGAATACAGGGATGCATATATTCTTTCGAATTAGTGTTTTGGGTTTCTTTAGATCAATTCTCAGAAGTGGAAGAAGAGCTGGGCCATAAGGCAGTTCCATTTTTAATTTTCTGAGGTAATTACACACTACTCTCCACAGTGGCTGCACCAATCTGGATTCCCACCAACAATAAAAAAAATAAAAAAGACACTACAAAGAGAGAAAATTATAGGCCAATATCCCTGATGAACATAGATGCTGAAATCCTCAAAAAAATATTAGCAAAGCAGATCCAGCAATACATTAAAAAGATCATACACCATGATCAAGTGGAATTTATTCCTGGGATGCAAGGTTGGTACAATATCTGCAAATCAATAAATGTGATAGACCACATAAACAAAATGAAGGATAAAAACCACATGATCATATCAATAGATGTAGAAAAAGCATTTGATAAAATCTGGCACCCATTTCTGATAAAAACTCTCAGCAAAGTGGGAATAGAGGAAACATACCTCAAAATAATAAAGGCCATACATGACAAACCCACAGCCAACATCATATTCAATGGGCAATAACTAAAAGCATTTCCCTTGAGATCAGGAACAAGACAGGGATGTCCTCTTTCATCACTCTTATTCAACATAGTACTGGAAGTCCCAGCCACAGCAGTCAGACAAGAAATAAAAAGCATCCGAATTGGACAGGAAGAAGTAAAACTGTGATTATTTGCAGACGATATGATACTATATACATAGAACCTGAAAGTTTCCACCAAAAAACTACTAGAACTGAGAAATGAATTCAGTCAAGTAGAATACAAAATAAATATCCAGAAATCAAATACACACTGCTACACACCAATAATGAACCATTAGAAAGGGAGACTAAGAATACAATCCCATTTACAATTACATAAAAAATGATATAATATGCAAAAAAGCAAACCTGTGTAATACTTAAACTTTGTATTATTTCCATGATTTCTTCTGATGATTTATCAACTTTAGATAGCAACACCATTAATCTATGAATAAAGAAAAATATATTTAGCAAAATCAAGCATTTATTTTATTTTATTTTTAAAGTTATTTTTAATAATTTTTTCTTTATTGATTTTAGAGAAAGAGGCAAGGAGAGGAAGAAAGATAGAAACATCGATGAGAGGGAACACTGAATGGCCGCCTCCTGCATGCCCCCCACTGGAGATCGGGCCCACAACCTGGGCATGTGCCCTGACTGGGAATCGAACTGACGACCTCTTGGTGCATGGGTCAGTGCTCAACCAATGAGCCACACCAGTAGGGCAAGATCAAGCATTTAAACACAAATTATTTTTAGAGCTTCTTTTGATTTTACATTCAGTTTTCTATTATTTTTCCTTACATTTTACAAAATGGTTAGAGATATAAATACCCCTCCTTCATTCTTTCATTCTTTTACAAGACAACATATATTATCAACCATCCTGTCTTTTGGAGTGTCACTTTTTCTCATTCCCACTGAGTGGCAGGAGAAAAGATTGTAGATCTAAGAAATGTCCTAATCTACAGAGAATTTTTATAAGAATTTATTTGAGCCAAACTGGTGACATGTTGGGAAGCATGATCTCAAATATTCCCAGAGAATGACTTTTGCTGTTTCTTTTATACATATGGAATCAAGGAGGAAACATAAAAAGATTACATGAAGGTGGGAGAAAGCAAGGTACAGGATAGATAAGGGTGTTTTGCCTTCAGCGGGTCTGAAAAAGAGGACTGCTTCTGACAGTTCGAAGGTGTGTCAATCTATATACACAAGAATAAGAGGCAGGGCCTGCTTAGAAATCTTTCACTAGAGAATGTGTAGTTCTGGGGCACGATAACATACCACGACCAGCCCAATTAGGAATTTATGATCAGATCGACCTATGAGATTACTTCCAGTCATTATTACAGAGCCCCTTTTTCATTCACAAGATGTAGTTGGCTTGTTCCTTTCTCCACAATACCAATTTGAGAACACTAATAGACCCTTGGGTTAAGAGTAAAAAATAATAATGATAATAGTAGTAATAATAATAATAATAAAATATTCTATTTTTCACAAACCACTGCTCTCATAATAATGGTCTAACCTACCTCTACTTCCTCTTTACTGAAATTAAACCTTAATATTCATATTTCTGCTTTACACTCTACTAATACTATACTCTCAAAGGCCACAAATGAACTCTTTTTTGTTGTTAATCCTCACCTGAGGATATTTTTTCCATTAATTTTTAGGGAAGAGGGGAAGGGAGGAAGGTTGGGGGAGGGGGTCTCACATGCACCCGACCAGGGCCAGAATCAAACCTGCAACCCAGGTACGTGTCCTTGACCAGGAATCGAACCCTCGGTCCTTTGGTCCATGGGCCAACACTAACCACTAAGAAACAATGGTCGGGGTGATAATGAACTCTTAATCCCATTACTAAAACATAGCTGAAAGTCACTACCTGTAAGATATTTTTTACAGAAAAAGGTAAATAGGTCAATGAACCTCTAATTATCTAACTCTATCTAAATTGATTATTTTGGATGATAATAGCAGGATAAAAATAAAATATATTGCTAACATTTTTTTTAGTTCTTTCTAATTTCAAGGTACTACACTTGTTACTTTACAAGCTATATCTTATTTTATCTTTAAAACAACAATGTAGTATTATTTCCATTTTATAGATATGAAAACTGAAGAAAAATGAATTATTCAGGGCTGCATTATAAAGGGCACAGTCAGAACTGAACCTAGGTGTTTTTGACCTATGTTTGTAACCATTACACAATATAATCCAAAGTGTAACTCACTTAACACTAGGATCAGAATTCCTTGGTAAGACTCTTAAAAATGCAAGTAGGCTGTATTTCAGATCTACTTATGAAGAGTATCTCTACTTGGGACCTAGAAATATCCATTTCCAGATGATTCTTATGCACATCAAAGTTAACTTAAAAAACATTTTCTCTTAAAACAGATTAAATTTAAAAAAACCTGGACAATACACATTTGACACTCCTTGTCAAAAATTTTTTCCTTTGTTTAGGTATTTATTCCATTATATTCTCAAAAGTGATCTCATGGAGGTTTTCTTCAGCTGCTCTTTTATTTTTAAGAGAATTTTTCTTATTGTGGCAAAATATATATAAAATGTCTTTTCAACCATTTGAATGTTTTTCAATTCTCAACTGATGATATGTGTTTACTGATTTTAGAGAGAGAGAAAATTTATGCGAGAGAGAGAAACATCGATTGGTTGCCTCCCATACTCTCCCTAACCATGGACTGAACATGCAACCTAGGTATGTGCCCTCACCAGTTAAACCTATAACCCTTCAGTGCACGCGATGATGCTCCAATCAACTGAGCCACACCAGCCAGGGCATTTTTAACTGTTTTAAAGTGTACAATTTCGTGACATTAATACATTCACAATGATATGCGACTATGATCACTATTTTCAAAACTTCTGTTTCCACAAACAGAAACTCTGTCAAATGAAGCAGTAACTGTTAGCCTCTCATAATCTCTAATCTACTTTCTGTCTCTTTGAACTTGTCTGTTCCAGATACTGCATATAACTGGAATTGTACAATATTTGTCCTTTGGTGTATGGCTTATTTCACTCACTATATGTTTTCAAGATTCATGTTGTAGCATGTACCAGAATTTCATTCCTTTTTATAACGAAATAATGTTTGTATCTGGTGTGAGGTAGGGTCCAAGTATTATTTTTGTATTACTGTTCTTTTAATTGAGATATAATTGACACGTCATAATTATATTAGTTTAAGGTATAAACATGATTTGATATTTGTAAATACTGCAAAATGACCGCCACAATCAGTGTACCACCTTATCACCATACAGAGTTACACAATTTTTTTCTTATGATGAGAACTTTTAAGATTTGCTCTCTCAGCAACTTCCAAATATGCAATACAGTATTATTAACTAATGTCACCATGTTGTACATTACATCCCATGACTGATTCATTTTATACCTGGAAATTTGTACATTTGACCCCTTTACCCATTTTCTCTACCCTATACTCCCCATCTCTGGCAACCACCAATCTGTTCTGTTATCTATGAGTTTGGCTATGTGTTGGTTTGCTTTTGATTCCACATATAAGTGAAATTATTTGTTTTTGTTTTTGTCTGACATTTCACTTAGCATAATGCCTTCAAAGTCTATCCATATTGTGGCAAATGACAAGATTTTATTCATTTTTATGTCTGAATAATATTCCATTGTGTGTGTGTGTTTATATATACCTATATACATTGCATTTTCTTTATTCATTCATCCATTAATAGATACATTGTTTCCATATCTTGGCTACTGTAAATGCTGCAATGAACATGGGATGCATATATGTTTTCAAGTTAGTGTTTCGTTTTCTTTTAACTTTATTCTTTTGCATGTAGAAATCCTGTTGTTTCAGATCAATTGGCCATAGACAGATGTATAAATTTATTTTTGGACTCTCAATTCTACTCCATTGATCTATATGTCTATCCTTATGCCAGTACCATACTAATTTAATTATTGTAGCCTTGTAGTGAATTTTGAAATCAGGGAGTGTGAGCCCTCTAACTTTGTTCTTCTTTTTCAAAATTGTTTGGTCTATTTGGGGTCGCTTATAGGTTTGTTAAATATTGAAATATATTTGACATGTAAATTTAAAGTATACAACATGTTAATTTGATAGATTTATATACTGTAATATGATTGCCATTGTAGTAATAATTAGTAGTACTTCTATTGTGTTACATAATTATTTCTTCTTAGTGGACAGAATAACTAATTTATAATCTTAGCAAGTCTGAAGATTATAACAACAAATATTGTTGTCTATATTCACTATGCATTAGATCTTTAGAACTTATTTGTTACTTGTTGCAAGTTTTGTACCTTTTTTTTTATTGCTTTTTTCTTTTTTTTCTTTTTTTACCTTACCCAAGGACATTTTTGTATTGATCTTCAAATAGAGTGAGAGGGAGAGAGGGAGGGAGAGAGAGAAAGAAACATTGATGTGAGAGAGACACATTGACTGGCTGCTACCCACTCGACCCCAACCAGGGCTGGGGACAAACTGCAACTGAGGTACGTGCCCTTAGTGGGAACCGAACCCGGGTCTCTCTGCACCGCAGGCCAACGCTCTAACCACTGAGCAAACCGGCCAGGGTGTATGTTTTGTACCCTTAAACAACACCTATTCTATCCCCCCTGTCCCATCCCCTAGTAACCACTACTATACTCCGTTTTTACGAGTTTTTTTTTAAAAGATTCTGCATATAAATGATATCATACAGTATTTGTCTTTCTCTGACTTATGTCACATAACATAATGTCCTTAACCTCTATCCCTATCAATTTTTTTTTTTTTATCCTCACCCGAGGACATTTTTCCATTTTTTGTTCAGATAGAGTGGGGAGGGAGAGAGAGAGAGAAACATCGACATGAAAGGGACACATTGAGTGGCTGCTACCCGCACGACCCAACCAGGGCGGGGGACAAACTGCAACCGAGGTACATGCCCTTAGCGGGAACTGAACCCAGGTCTCTCTGGACCGCAGGCCGATGCTCTACCGCTGAGCCAAATTGGCCAAGGCCATATCATTTTTTTAAATCCTCACCCAAGAATATCCTTCCATTGTTTTTTTTTTTTAAAGATAGGGTGGGAGGGATGGGGGGGGGGGGAGAGAGAGAGAGAGACAGAGACAGAGACAGAGACATCGACGTAAGAGACACACATCCAGGTGAGGGTCGGGGTCCAGACTGGACCCGCAACTCAGGTACATGCCCTTGACCAAGAATCAAACCCTTGTCTCTTTGGTCCACAGACTGATGCTCTAACCACTGAGTCAAGTCGATCAGGCCTCTACCCATACTGTTTCATATGAATGTGAGGACAGGCTTTTCCATTTCTGGAAAAAATGATGGAATTTTGACCGGGATTGCAATAAATCTGTAGATCATGTTGGGTGGAGGTACTAACATCTTAACAATATTAAATGTTCCTTCCCATAAACACAAAATGTATTTTCATTTATTTAGCTCTTCCATAATTTCTTTCAGCAATGCTTTATAATTTCAAGTATACAAGTCTTTCACCTCTTTAGTTACATTTATTCCTAGGTATTTTATTCTTTTAGATGCTATATAAATGGAATTGCTTCCTTAATTTCCTTTTCAAACTGTTCTGCAGGTGCATAGAAACACAACTAACTTTTGTGTGTTGATCTTGTACCCTGTAACAAAACATTAGGTACTGAAAAATACTTATCAGTAAACCAAATAAGCTTTAAAAAAATATTACAGTTACAAAAGCTGAAAACATAAAACACTGCAAAACAGTGTCAATCTACTAACTGAATAAACGAAAAAGAAGGGAAACAATGTCAACAACCAATCATTTATTTAACAAGGCAGATTTCTGAATTAAAGGAGTATCTACCAGAGTGGGAAGAGGCTGGCTTTGTTGGCAGCTTGAAACTATACAGCTCAGATACAACCTTTAACAGAGGAGTTTCTAACTTGGGACATTTAGAAAATTCACATGTGGCTTGTGGACCTAGCTGGGTTGAGATTTAGACTTGGCTCTGGATACCCAGTTAAATTAAACCTAAAATCTCTCTCCAGGATCCTTACTTAAGCGAGGCCATGCCAAACACAACCTTCCTAGCATGAGTTTTCAGAAAACAGCTGGCACAAAAGTTATTCTTAAAATATCTAGAGCTGTAAACAAATTGATGGGTTCAGAAGAAGAAAGAAGAAGAAAAGATTATAAAAAGTTAAAATAGCTAAGTGGAGCTCATCAGGGGGGAAGCAACAAGTAAGTCTGGCATGCTTACATCGTCCAAACACATCTCCTTCACTGCCTGCTTTTACTTCTAAGTTTGTTATATCAGACATTCATTTGGTTTAACAGGTATCTGCTTTCAAATACAGGCATGTATATGATTTAAAAAGTGTTACCTACCATTTCCTTTTACTGTATGTCCTTTTGTACACTTTGAGGTGTTTTTGTTTTGTTTTACTCTATACATATATTGTTTATTTTAAAATATAAGTTAAACCAAAAAATGCTTTCCTCGTAATATCTAGTTGAGATAGGTTTCACTGAGGAAATGGGAACTTTGATTAGGGGAAGACAGGAGTAGTAATTTACACTAAAACTATTTTGGGACAGGGCACATGAAAATATTTGGAGCTTGGGGGAAACATGGGCAGGGAAAGCAGCTAGGAAAAGCAGATAAAGGGGTACAGTGATAAATGAAGATGGCCAAAGAGACTTCTTTGAGACCCTCTTCCCTGCATCCCTATTGTACTCTAAATGGCATTCACTTTCTATCTTTTAAACTACAGTATGAAAAAAATGGACTTGTGGCCCTGACCTGGGGGTATAACTACAAATTACAACACTATATGAAAAATTTATTCTGAGTTCCATTCAAATGATTTAAAAACATTTTGAAACCTTACCCACAACCCATTTCTAAGCTGGGGAAGGTATATTAACATAAGACCATAAGCTCCCAATGGGTAGAAACTTCATTTTCCTCACATCTACCCATCCATCATATTGTCTGGCACACAGAAGAAATAGCTGAAAGGGTAAATGAGGTGAATATATGAACTGCTTTGAAAATTTAATCCCTGTTCTCCTTAATTCATTTTTTCCAGCCTCAGTGAATAAATATTCTTTCCAGAATATATAGGCAGTAGCTTTCTGCAGATAATGACCTCATTCAGGCACCATTAGCAGTCCAATATGAAAATGCTTGGCTGCTGGCATGTAGCCTTCTAGGTTCCTCCAGATCCCTTACTCTGCTGGCTTCACTGTGCTTAGCTCTTGAACCAGCAATTTGTTAGGTATTATGTTTCCAGACAACATATTACCTCTCTATCCATGTAAATCTGAAATGAGTGTATTCCTCAGTTTTACCCTAAGCTGGTCTCTTATGTACAGGCTAGGAAAACTGGGCTCAATTAGTATTAAAATTAAAGTATCAGCCCGGCTGGTGTGGCTCAGTGGATTGAGGGTCACCTCATGGACTGAGAGGTCCTGGTTCAATTACAGGCCAGGGTGCATGCCCAGGTTGCGGGCTCGATCCCCAGTGGAGGGGTGTGTAGGAGGCAGCCGATCGATATCTCTCTCACATCACTGTTTCTCTCTCTCCCTTCCTCCTCTAAAAAAAAATAATAATAAAAAATCAATAAAAAAATTTGAAAATTAAAGTATCATATATCACCATCATATGAACACTGTAAAACATGTCACAAAATATTTTACTTCTTTAAGAAATAATAATTCAACTCAGGTAAAACTATTATTTTTTGCAAAGAAATAATTTCTCTTAAATTATCACTAATAAATATGATGCTTTTCTTTTAAAAGATGTGTATATTATTTCAAAAACAACAAACTTACTCATCGTCTTTTGTAGATTCCTTTCTTTTGGTTAAACTGAGATGATTCAGTTTTTTTCTCTTTCCTATACATGTGCAATAAAAAGAACATAAGGGGAAAATTGTCAAATTTTAAATAAAATTTAGAGCACCACATGTTAAATAAAACGGTAGACAAATGAAAGGGAAGTAGGAAACAAAGTACCATGAAATTTGCTATGGGAAAAAAATTTCACTATTATGGATAACTTTTCAATACCTATTTTTGTTTTTTTCATTTCCTATTCTATTTTTTATTCATGATGACATTATATAGAAGAAAAAAAACCAACCTTTTAAAAAATTTTCTATTGGGGCTTAGTATAATAAAGAGAAAACTGGAGAAATTAAGTTATCTTTCATATATGTGTGGGGTTAAAAATGTAACTTTGATTTCATAGCTCTAGTAGAACATGATGTTTACATTTATTAGTGTCAAGTAAATAATTGTTTTATGAGCTAACATTTAGTTGTTTGTTCTACAGTACTTGATAGTACAATATACACTATATACTTTAAAAATATTTGACGTATAATAAGTATCTGAGGACACATTAGCATAAAGTTTCTGTGTCTTACATATATGACCTTTGATAAATGTTTATTGAATGAATAAACAAGCAAATGAATGAATAATCCAAACTCTTTACTACTAATGACAAACAGTAAAGATAAGAAATTTTTTAAATGTATAAATGATAACACCCCACCTCACACTACTATTGATTTTTATGTAGTTCCATCTGTTCGACAACTGGCACAGGAAGTCTTATTTACTTAACGTTCTCATTATTTTTCTAAAAAATTGTTTGATACAATATATTGTGAAAAACTCTCTGACTCTCCAACAGAAATATAATGTGAGCCACTTAATGTAATTTAAAATCTTCTACTAGCAAAAGTTTTAAAAAGGAAAAATAGGTGAAATAAATTTTAATATTTCATTTAACCCAATATACCCCAAATATAATTTTAACACATAGAATATAAAATTATTATTGAGATAATTAGTATTCTTTTCTCACATTAAATCTTTGCTCTGTGGTGTGTATTTTACACTTATGGCACACCTCAATTCAACGAGCCACATGCCAAATGCTCTATATCTACATGTATTGAACCTTACAGCTGTAGGATAATACCACAGGAGGCGCCAATACTTCCAGATGAAATCAAATATACAGATAACATGAAACCAAGTTCTTTAAATGTTCAAGTGTAATTTATTAACATATTAATAAATATATTGTCTGGAACAGACTTTCCAATGCTGGTTTACATTTTTTTCTTCACTTAATTTTTATTCCATTAAACTTACTTGCTTTATTACTAGGGAAAAAACTTATTTAAAATGTATTTTCTATGCTCTGGTATTTATAATTTTATTAAGAAGGTTTAGAAACTGATTAATAATAATTTCCACATTGTTACTTTGAACCTTATGCCTTCGCTCAAAAAAATTATTTCAAAACTAAGCTGTCATCTCAAAATAGACTTTAATGCCAAAAAAGAAACACTTGTTATTTAGACATTTTGCTAAAGTACTCTCTCTTGCTTAGCTTTTCATTATTTGACTTGTCTGTATCCTTACATTCCAAACAGAATTAATGAATATGGTTAAGAGTTGTTTTAATGAAGGATAGAAGAGTAAAAAGGTAACATTTATTATTTTGGAGAACTTTGAGGAAATAATTCTATTAAAATCTGTCTCTCTAAAGAAAAAAATCAAGCTAGAAATGTATGTTTTGTAGAAAACCACAAATGAAAATCCACAGTACACATTAAACCTTTATTCCTTAATTTTGTACTATGCTGACTGTATTCAATAAAGCTCCTCAATTAAACATTAAAATTACTGTGTTCCTGCCCTGGCTGGGTAGCTCAATTGGTTAGAACGTTGTCCTGATATGCCAAGGCTGTGGGTTTGATCTCCAGTCAGGGAACATACAAGAATCAGTTAATGATGCATAAGTAAGTGGAACAACAACAACAACAAAAATCAATGTTTCTCTCCTGTTCTCTCTTTCAAATCAATCAATCAATAAAAAAATTTTAATTATTTTGTTCTTTTAACTTGTAATTAATTTTCACATTTTAGCACGTTAGGAATGTTAGGTGAGAAATAGTAAAAGAATGCTTTATTTAAATTTTCACCAGTTATTCAATACCTATCTAAACATTTTTATTATTCTAAGAGGATTAGTAAAACCCCATCCTATGAAATAGCATCAATCTCAATCTTTTCATGGGAGGACTTACGTTTTTAACATGTATTTCCAATTGTTAAATAGGAGGAGTTTTAATATCTCTAAGAACAACACCTGGAACAGGTATCAAAGACTGTTGAGTAGACTCTAATATAATATTAAGAGTCTTCCAGTTACTTAAAAATTACTTTCTTTCCATTCTATTAGCAATTAACATATGCTAAAGGGCTATGAATTCTATATGGTCTTTTTCTCACTAGGTAATAAACAGTTGTGTACTTGATTCCCTTTAAATGCAATTTTGCAAACACTGGTAATAAACATACCATCACTAAATCTGGACTACATTCAAAATTGTATTTGGACTTTCCAGTAAGGCTCCAAGGAACCCTTTCGCTAACTAATGAAGAGAGCTTTCAACAGATCATAACATTTAGAAGTACAACCAATGATGATGATGATAATGGCTATTATATAGCATTTTTAGGATTAGACACTGTTTTAAATGTTACATATATGAACTAATTAATCTATACAACTCCGAGGTAGTCACTTTTATTCTCATTTTACAGATGAGGAAATTAAGGCACAGAATGGCCACATAATTTAGCCCAGACCCCATAGCTAGTAGGTGGCAGTCAGGATCTAGGCCCAGTCACCTGGCTGCAAAGAAGGTGCTCTCAGCCATGATGCGATGCTTATTTATTATATTAATCTAAAGTTCAAACAGGTTTAGGCTACTATCATGCTGCTACTAGATACACATACTTTATAGCGGACACATATCTCAGGCATCATTTGATTCCAAACCAAAAGTTGTAACTTGAGGAAAACCTTGACTGACCTAGAGAGATTCAAATAATTTGTGTAAGGTGTCACATACTAGTTAGTAACTTTTTTTTTAAAACAGTCTGCCAGATCAAGTTTGAGCTTACAAGCTATGAGGCAAGTGGAATCCTGTCATTCTTTTAGTTAACCAAATTAATATTAGTAAACAAGTAGGAGAGTGAAGAACCTCTTTAGAGGATCGATTCATTAAAAATTACAATGTTGCCCAACTGGTGTGTCTCAGTGGCTGAGCTTCAACCCATGCACCAAGAGGCTGCTAGTTCGATTCTCGGTCAGGGTACATGCCCAGGTTGTGGGCCCAATCCCCAGTGGGGGGCATGCAGGAGGCGGCCAATTGATGTTCTCTCTCATCAGTGTTTCTATTTCTCTCCTTTCCTCTCTCTCTAAAATTAATAAAGAAAAAAATTACAATATTAATGGCAATTTTAAAATTCAAAATACCTTTACTGAGTCCTATGGAAGAAAATATAATATTTTAAAAATATTACCTAAATTATTGAATAGAAAGGTATCAATGAGAAAACTGGAACTACTTCTTATCTGCTAAAACATTAATATTTGAGAAGCAGCAACAGAGTGGTAAGTTTTAAAATCTTTCATCCAAATTAGTTTGTGGACTGCATTAAGCAGTATTTGGCTAGCCTGGCCGGTGTGGCTCAGTGGACTGAGGCCCCAGTTCGATTCCCGATCAGGGCACCTGTCCAGGTTGTGGGCTGGTTCCCCGTTGGGGGCATGCAGGAGGCAGCCGATGGATGTTTCCCTTTCACATCGATGTTTCTATCTCTCTCTCCCTTCCACCTCTCTAAAAAAAATCAATAAAAAATATTTAAGAAAAAAAAAAGCATTTGGCTCACATCTCAAATTGCTCATCATATATCTAAATTGATATTAATCAACAGCTCTTTTGAAATACATATCACCTGTTCCATCTTCCACTTAAAAAAAAATTTTAAAAAAAAGTCTTGCCAGAGCCTAGCATCTGATCAGTCTTTTCAAAGAAACTGCTTTAAATTTTGTTGCTTTTCTTTATTATTGCCTTGTTTTCTATTTAATAATTTGTTTGTATCTTTCATTATTTTCTTTCTTCTACTTTTTCAGGTTTGTTCTATTGTCCTTTTTCTGTCTTTCTGAGTTGAATGATTGGCTCATTATTTTCAATTATTCTTTCTTTTTGTTTTTGTTAATCCTCACCGGAGATTATTTTTTCCATTGATTTTTTTAGAGAGTGGAAGGGAGGGGGAAGTGGGAGAGAGAGAAAGAATCAGAGAGAGAGAGAGAGAGAGAGAGAAATACCAGTGTGAGAGACACACTGATTGACTGCCCCCTGCACATGCCCTACCTAGGGCCAGGGATGAAGTGCAACCCAGACCCGTGCCTTTGATTGAAAATTGAACACGAGACCCTCCGGTGCGAGGGCCAATGCTCTAACAACTGAGCCACACCAGCCAAGGCCAATTATTCTTCCTTTTAAAATATATGTATTGTAAGTATACATTTTCCACTAAAAACTGTTTTGATATAGTGCAGTATTTAGATACAAATTTTTCCTCTAAGTGTTGACATGTTTTCATTATCATTCAATGTATAAATATTTCATACTTTCCATTATGATTTTTCTGATCAATGAATTATTCAGAAGTTTCTTGATTTCCAAACATGTGTGCTAAAATTTTTAGAGAATTGCCTTTTTATTATTGATTCCTAATTGCATGAAATTTTGGTCAGAGAATATGATCTGTACAACAGCAATTTTTAGTATGATGTTTTATCATATTCTCTTTATATCTCAGTGATGTTACACTGCTGCAATCTGGGTGATTTCTACAGATCTAGTGTCTAATTTGTAAGTACTCACTTTAACATTGCAAATTTGTTATTTATCCTTCTACCTTAATTATTTAAAAACAAGTCTGATTCATTCTTGGGAGTAAAGGAGAGAAAAAAAAACATATCATTCTTCCTCTCCTCTGAAAAATATATGATAGTTTGAAGAAATTTGCTAAGGGTAAGGGAGGGTAGCAATATAATGACACACATAAATATATATATATAATGTTATATATGTATATATATACATATATACACATATAAATACATAAATAAAATGTAAAAGTTGGAATCAGTCACCCCATTTTTGGCCTGTGCAGACTGTAAGTAGAGGGAAGACTTAGAATCAGATCTTTTTTTTTTTTTTTTTTTATCACTACAAATGGATTTAAATTTATTAAGTCATCTGTTCACATACTATATGGTTCAGATGTATATAGAACATATATATATATATAAATAACTGGAGAAAAGGTATTCCAGGATTGAGAGAACTGCAAGTATGATGACCTTGAGGTGGAAAGGGGCTCAGCATGATTACAGAGTGGCAAGAAATAATGGCTAAAGTAGTGTAAATTCGGGAAGGGTTAGGCAGGTGGTATTAGATGATGCATAACCTAAAGTTATGATAAGGTTTGGAAGTGAGTATTATGATGGGAAGTGAGTATTACCTCAAATGTCCTTGAAAATGTTAGATAAAGGTCCTTATTTAAATTGTACCTTATGTTTTGTATGATATTTAAAAGGTGAGGATTGTTAACAGAAGTTATGACTTAATTTGGAACTTAAATTACTTCGTAAGAGTCAGGCTTTCTCATTTCCAAAACATGTGTAAGATGACATAATCTGATATAAGAGCCTACACAGAATTTTCCTACTTTGAGCATCAGTTTGGCTCAGAGGTTAGAGCATCAGCCCAAGAACTGAGGGATCACTGGTTCGATTCCTGGTCAAGGAAACGTACCTCGGTTGTGGGTTCGATCCCTGGCTCCAGTGGGGGTTGTGTGGGAGGCAATCAAATGATGTCTCTCTCTCTCTCTTTTCCTCCCTTCCCCCTGCCTATTCTATCTAAAAATCAATGGGAAATTATCCTTGGGTGAGGATTAAAAAAAAAAGAATTCTCCTACTTTGACACTTCTGTATATGACATACATATATCAAATAGTACATAAAACACATTATGTACAGTTTAATTATAGTTTGAACCAGTGTAATCACAATATAGGTTAAGAAATAGAATACTACCAGCTCCTCAGGAACCCTTGCTATATGACTTTTTAAAAAAGAGCTTACTTAGTACTATAATCTGTGATAATTATCCACTTAAATGTCAACTGGAATCATGTGACCAATCTTTTTATGGGCAAAAGGAATGTTCCCTTAAGTCTATATTTAATTTCAATATGGAAATTGAATACATATCCACTTAAAATCTATTCACATTTCAGTATAGAAATGTGCCATCTCTAAGGCACTAATTTTTATTTTTAAACGTAAGATATACCAAGTGTATAAAAGACAGAACTATAGAACTTGAAGAAAATGTATACGTTTTTGTAAAAGCAAACTTAATAGTGATAGCTTTAAGATAAAAAGTATTTGATTAAAGTAAAATAAAAGTCCTTCAAAAGTTTAAGATCTCATTATGGGTTTCATTACAACAAATTAGGTAAAATGATAAGACTTCTTTGTTTCTGTGTAGCTTCTAGTATATGCTTAGCACTCAATAAATGTGAAACAATAAAATATGAATTAGGCTAATCACAGCATATCTAAAATATATTTTATTAAATTTGAGCCTACTTAAAATTTTATATTATAGAAACTTGACATGTCACTGATTCATAACCTTTTCCAGTATTAAAAATTAAACCTATGAAATCCAGATTTCTATATCTTTTAAATGTTTATTTAGCGATAAACTACCAGAGAAGAAATATGTATGTTCAAAAACTAACAATATTGTAAAATAAAAAATGTCATATCAAATTCAGTTCTTCTATTAAGGAAAATTCTAGAAACCGTTTGCAAATGCATTTAAAATAGTAAAGAAAACAAAGGGAATGAAATATAATAAATAAAAGGAGCTATATAAAGATACACAAAATGTGGATAAACTTAAATGGACAACATGTATAAAAATAACATTTAGAAGTATCATTCTTAAATTGTATAGTGCAGCGGTACCTGAATTATGTGCCCTTTAATTTATGCACATGATGGATAGCTTGTTAAGAGGTGTATCTGTAACCATTATAATTGATAGTAGCTGAAGGCAGTCAGGCCATAATTTCTGTTTAATGGATGGGATAGTAAGGGAACAAAGTCTGCAGTAGCATTTTAAAATAAGTGCCTAGAAAGTTTACATTTATTTCCAAAGTAATACCTATCGTCTAGCCTTTTCTATGTGGAATTCTTTAAGAAAGAAGAGAAAAATCAGCTGCAGCAATATCCATATATTATTAAATCAAAATTTTGATTTAACCAATAACTAGAAAAATATTACAGTAAGTGGAAAAGAATGTTTAACTAACCATTTGATGGTCCATTTATGTGCTCATGTTCTTTAGAGCTTGTGGGAGAAGCAAATGGGCTCAATCGACAAGTTCCAGTTGTTGGAGAATAATTTGTAATACTTTTCTTCTTTGTGATTTTTGAAGGATCAAGTGACTGGAAATAAACATTAATTTGGGACAAAAACACTTATGTTTAATTATAGATCTTTGAAAACTCACAAAATTCAACCAATACTCTTTTTCTTGTTCTTCCTTTTGGATTTTAAGTATACTCAATTATCACCTTCAAAGTGCACACTGTGTTTTCAAGTTATGTATGTATTTTAGGTCTCCTCACTAACTGGGGCATCTTAATTTGATATTCATAAAATTTTAACACTAAAGGGTTGTTACCTTCTGAAATAGTACTTCCAAACAAGCTAGAGAAGGCTGACTCTTCTAGTTATATCTTGACTTTTGCTGTCAGTTGAACCTGAAGTATAATTATGGGGCCAGGCCAAGAAAACTCTCAGATCTTGTATTAAATTCCTCAAGAAAATCTTAGGAAGGACCAGTACTGTCCTAAACTTTCACAAACTTGTTCTGTCACAGTGTCTTGTCTTATTGATAACCAAAACAATGTTTAAACAATTGAGTATGGAATTCAAGGACTTTGAGAATTTGGCCTATCCTATGCAAATCCTCTACGCAGCTTCCTCTTCTGTGTTTTCATAGGCCCTGTGCATACTTCCTATTGCAGTTAGTGAATTTTTATATTTCTGTCTGCCCCACTAAAATTTGAGTTCCTGAAAATAAATCTTCATCTTTGTACCCCAGAACTAAAGATTGTTGATGAATATATGACTTAAAAGGAACGGTGCAAAAATATGATGTATTACAGAATTGTACACAAAAAACCTATATAATTTTATTGCCCAATGTCACCACACTAAATTAAATTTTTAAAAAAAGGAGGGGACAGTCCAATAAATTTGGCCAAGCTACTCTCTACATTTGTTCCTTAGTTCATTCAATCAATATTAAGTGGCACCTGTAGTCTCAGTATCTAGGCAATATACATTTGGGCCTTAGCCCTCTCGTTATCTTCCCTGGGACCTAGTCTTTGGTTTAGGTTCCTGTTCATGATCCACTTCTTCCAAATACCCATTTTCATACTATTAATTGCTTGTTCTTCTGAATTCCTTTTAAACTTGTTTTCTATAATACTTACTAATCACCCAGCACTTGCTAACTAATGTGTATAAAGAAATAGAACAAATTGTTCTGGCCTCAGATAGAGCAAAGAACAGGTCTTACAGTAGTATGTGTGCTGAAGAAATTAAGGGGAGAAAGAAAATCAAAGTGGGCTGCAGTGACCTCACAGAGAAATTCTTGTGAGGGTGAAGGGTGAAGCTTAGGTAAGTGAAAATAAAGGCATGAAAAACCTGGAATCTAGATGTCAAACAGACATCACAGAGTGAATTTGGGCGATAAAAGAAAGGTCTGAAGGCTCATGATATGTTGCCAACATTGTAGAATTGAACTTAGCTTGGTAGCTGTCTTGAAATAGTTCTATAATTCTCTATTGTCAACTATTCTTTATTTTTAAGACACCATGGCAGAAATAGTGGCAGTGTCATATTTTTCAATAATCTTCATATTAGTTCCCGAATCCAAAGCATCAACATTTTTTTTTACAGTTAAGATTTTAAATGATAGACACTTCTTTGTATTGAGGGAACAAAAGCATTCCATTCTTTATTTTATGTACCCAGTAGCCACAGATGTAACCAATATTTTTTTTAAAAAAACCAAACTATAATATGAAGTTATAACTCTAACACAATCTTTTTTTTGTAGGGTGAAAGGGTTTTAAGTCTCTTTATCAGGTGGTTATTATTACCTCTCCATCTTGGGTTTTTACCTGTTTATATGTATTCAGTCATAAACTATGACATTTATCCAATCCTACCCTACTTTTCCAAGAATTTATTGCCCAGACTATTTCACTGTGTATGTACAAGAAATGAAAGTCACTACCCTAATGTACATTTATGTCAATCTGTTTTCCTATTTTCACCAAAAAATTATTTTTTCCACTTGCCAAATATCTAAACATTGTAACTGTAGATAATAGATTTCTCCTTGAAAACAATTTTCTAGCTTTCATAAAATAAGTCTTTGTGTGTGCGTGTGTGTGTGTGTGTGTGTGTGTGTGTGTGTGTGTATCCCCCCCCCTCTTCTTCCCTCACCTTAAAAATACCGAGGTGCGCCCAGGCCGGTTTGGCTTAGCGGTTAGAGCGTCGGCCTGCGGTCCAGAGAGACCCGGGTTCGGTTCCCGCTAAGGGCATGTATCTCAGTTGCAGTTTGTCCCCGGCCCTGGTTGGGTTGTGTGGGTGGCAACCACTCGATGTGTCCCTTTCACGTCGATGTTTCTCTCTCTCTTCCTCTCTCTCCTTCCCACTCTATCTGAACAGAAAATGGAAAAATATCCTCAGATGAGGATAAAAAAAAAAAATACCGAGGTGTCTCTTTTGCCCTTTCTTTTTTTGGTCATCTCTGTTGGTTAAAAGGGAAACTGTCTGTCTACAATTACTATACATAGAGTAATACATGCTATCCCACTAAATATTCTTCAGTAAATAAAGAATTTTTATGTATCTGCCTACTGATATACATGAAGGCATAATCTTACTTAAGTTATTATCTCCCTGAAAATTGTATCAAGATCTTCTAACTTTTAAGTCTTAAAGATGCTTAAAAGTGCCCCTGGAATTAATCTGTGAATTTCCATTCTGTCATCCCCCAAATGTTGAAGGACTTGGCCTAGTAATTAGTCTCCCACAATAGAAAAGTGAAGATGACTGGGGTTTGTAAACAGCTTCCAGTGACTTTTCCATACAAAGTACTTGAATTGGCTCATGTTGCAGACTTTCCTAAAAATTTCTCAAACAAGCAGCATCTGGCCTTGGCAAGCCTCATACCTCTTGCTAAGTGGCCCCAGACCTGGCACTAATGGCAGCTGACCTTGGTTTGCAGCTTGACCTCTCCCAGGCACTTCCAAGCCCAGCACAAATAGCAGCCCCCTGCAGGTGGCACTGTAGCCCTGGGCAGGGAACACTCAGTGACTGACCTTGGCCTTCACTTCCCGGGAGGTCTCAGAGCCATTGCACCCAGTGGACAGTTTCACACCATGATGAAGAATCACCCAACTACCACCACAAGTGACACACTCAAAGGTCACACTCAGGGTGCATTTGAGATCTTACTCCTCTGCATGTGTTGTAGGTTTGGCTCAAATAAACTCTTAAAAAGGTTTGGCATCAACATTTACTTGGTAGCTGGTAGTAAACCGAAGAAGCCCACCCAAGACCATAAACCAGGAATGGTGCTAGGTACAAGGAAGGTCCCATTGCACCCCACTGTTTCCCACTTTGCATCAGGTTAATTTGGTTAGCTCCAGGAGACAAAAACTTTAAAGATCACTGACAGCCACCTGGAGGTGTTGTTTATTAGAAAGGACATCTAATAAAAGACACACTCCAACTTCACTGGAAAGGATCTTATCAGACGCCTAACCGTGAATGGACATCTATCCCTGTCTGGAGGATAAGGAGCTGATGACACCAAAGGTAAATGCATCGGCAAGGCATCGGCAAGGCCTGTATATCTAAAGATTGCTATTGAACTCAGAATCCATTTTGTTTGATTGTCTTTATGTGTCTGCTAATGATATTAGTCATTAATAATCGTTATATTTGTTCTTTTGTTTTTTTCCATATAGTCCAATTGTTTATGATTATTGGACATGTATAAGATACCTGTTAATACTCTTTCATGGCTCATGTAAATGTTATACTAAATGCCAAGTACAGAAAGATAAGCAGGCAAAACTTAGATCATGATAGTTCATAGGACAGAAATGATCCAGAGTGTTTTTTCACAATGAAGACCATAAGACCTGGCTGCCTTCCATTTACCAGCCCCTCCTTTTTGGGAAATTTTCTGCCTCGACTCAAATCCCATGATTATAGTACTGCTCCAGCCCTAGTGGTCAACAAGACAATATCAATACTGAGACTTCCTAGGAATGAGCCTTCCTACTGCTGTAAGACCATACTGCCCAACCAAAAAGTTGGTCATTAATACATCCTTCTGATTAATTTCTGACCAAAAGGGGCAACCATAGAGAAAAACAGGGTTCTATGAAAAGTAACCTCACAGGGTGATCTGATCATAAATTCCTAACTGGGCAAGTCATGGTGGGTAGTCAAAACCCAGGCCTATAACTTCTTTAGTGAAAGGTTTAAGGCATCCCTGCCCATTGTTCTTGTGCATCTAGATTGATACACCTTTGAAATGCCAGAAGTGGGGCATTAACCCTCAAGAGAGCACATAATCTTATTAACTATCACATAATCGAATCCCCGCTTCATTTTCTCCAGTTTTCCTTATAGACCCTTCTTAATTTCAAGTGCATAAAAGAAGCTGCAAAACTGTTATCCTTGGGAACATCTGAGATCTTGTTCTACAACTTATGCTATCAGTTTGGCTCAAATAAACTCTTATAAAAAGGAGGGAGGGTGGGAGGGGGAGAAGACTCAGTGAGCACCAGAGCCCCGCTAAAGTGAGTCCTGCTCTGTGGAGTTGGTCCCTACAAAGCAGAGCCTCCATGGTGGTCATGACCAGTCCTCACAACCAATTGGCCTGGGGGTAAGTCCCTTTCATTGATATGCCCACAGCAATCAAGGCTCAACTACAAAGGAAAGGAGCATACAGCCCATAAGGGGTGCATACCTGGAATGCCCAACTTGGGTGAACGGGGAGGCTGTGCCACTGAGCCCAACAGGACACTACATGAGGCCTCTCTATCAAGACCAGGAGACATAGCAGCTCTACCTAATACATAGAAGCCCACATAGGGAGGCTCCCAAAATGAGGAGACAAAGAAACACGTCCCAAATGAAAGAACAGAACTAAACAAAATGGAGACAAGCAATCTACAGATACAGAGTTCAAAACACTGGTTATAAGGTTGCTCAAAAAACTTAGGGGTAGAGTAGAAAAAAATAGCAAGAACATCAACAAAGAGATAAGAAAAATAAAAATGGAACCAGGAAACACAAAAAAGAACAGGTCAGAAATGAAGAATACATCACAGGGAACTGACAGTAT